TAAAGGAGCCTCAATTTGTGGCAGGGTGTTAAACACGGCGTCCATCTAGGAAGAGCTTCCTAATAGCCCATTTCCCTGGAGAGCACAAGGGGCCATTTACAACAACCAATCATACAGTGAGGGAATGGTCTCCGCTCGCCTTGCCAGTAATGAGATAATGCACAAATGCAACAGCGATATTTTTCTTTACCCCCATGTTTATGTTGTCAAGTAGAGAGATGATTTATGAACAGCTGAATGAGATGAATAAAATGCGGGTAAGATTATGATAAATGCAGATGCAGATTAATACATTGGATCATGCTTTTTTTCCAAACTTGTCACCTTCAACCGCTTGATTAAACGTGCTAAATGATGGCCATAAGCTGCAGGGCTGCTGGTCCCGAACACGTTTGAGGCATAAACAAACTACTGTCAATCTTTTGAAAAAAAAAAAAAAGCGTGGGAAGGTTGATAAAAGGCTCAGTGGGAGGGTTTCACTGTTAAGTGCTTGCATGGTAATGGCTTCAGGCTTCTTAAGGCAGCCACCGTGTGACTCGTCTCACCCACCTCCAGGTTAGCTTTTAATGAGGCAGACAACCTTTTTTTTTTTTTTTTTCTGATTTCAGCCTCCGCTTTAGAACACATAAAGTAAGAAGGTGAGTGTGACTTGCAAAATGTAAAGGTTGAAGAACAAAAGTGCACCACAGCAGAGAACAAGACGTGCCCCTTGATGGATGTGTGTCCTTTTTAGAGGGCAAACTTTGTCTTGGGATTGTCTTTCTGTGTGATTCATTTCTACTTCATCCCACAAGCTTTGGTTTGACCGTCCAGGGACACGTTTTAAACTAAGGCAGATCTGGTTAGAGATGAATACATGGTGAAATATAAAAAAGACTGAACAGTAAAAAGTCATTTTACGTGTTGGAAGAAATTTTCAAATCCTTCAGCCACAGCAACAATGCGACAAAAAAAAAAGAGGAGAAATCTCTGATCAATGGATGAAGAAGAAGCCATTGCAGCTGGTTTTGTATTCATGAAAATAATTCATTGAAGTTTGATTTTTTTATTAGTAGATTAGTAAGTTGACAGATGACGCCTAGCTAGTCTGCTAATGCTTGTTCATTTGGATCATATTGACCCTATTTTGATGAGAGAGTTGGGCAGACGATGAGAGGGACGGACACTTAATGATCAATGTTAGATTGTTATTCAATGCCAACAGATTAGCTAGATTATTAGAAATACAAAGCGTATTGATAAACAGGCTAATTAGAAAGCTGGCAAGCCTGTGGAGAAATGCTTATTGATATATCGGAAAACTGGAGAGTTAGTGAAGCGAACAAGAATTAATTAGGGCAGGCTAATTAGCTATTCAACATCAATAACAATACTGGCAAAAAAGTCAAGCGCTGCTCATTGATTGGCTTTGTTATTAGTCACTGAATGCTAATAGAATACATGGCTAGTAAGCAAAGCAACATTAATTGATTAGCTGGCTAATTATCTCACTTAACAATGCTAAAAACCGAATTCACTGTAAAAACAACACCTTCAACAAAGCATCAACAAAGCTATGAACAGCAAGCAGAGAATTCACTGAGTTTCTAACCTGGATATATACTCAGAGGAATAATGTGTTAATAAAGAGCTTTCAGAAACACTCACGTCTTCATTATTACAACATCAAGTGAAAGAGGCTGCAGTCATTTTAAAGTGCATGAAAACCCTTGCTTGTGACCTTTTCGAGTTCAGTGTAAGTCAGTGATCATTAGCCGACGCAGCAGCAGCGAGCCAGAGAGCGGGCTCCTTCCTCCATCCTGATTTAGGGCGCCTCTTCTTCATTTGTACAAGAAACGACCATTAAACACTAATAAACACGAGGACCTGTGGGGCTAGCAGGAGCAGATGGAGATTAAATGTCTCGCCCCAAGAGAAGACGTTTCAAGGTAGAGGAGAGTATCTTTGTTCACTTTAACAGACGTTACCATCCTGAGGGGATCCATGAGAGGGAATTAGGATTCAGACCAGTAAACTCCTCAACCTTTAGACTCAGAGTTAGAAAACCTTTAACCACCAGGAAATAGTTAAAAGATGGAATGAAAGGCATATATCAAACCCCTGAAGTTTCCCCTTCCACTCTTTAGGGAGCTTTACAAACAAGGTTTAATTTTCATAAGTAACAGCGCCCAGAGGAGGCTATGTTTTATATTTTATACTAGTGATAAATTAAAATTGGGTCGCACTTAGTGTGATCAAGGCTTGAGGACATGGGGGACGGTCTGGGTAAACAGAATTTATACAAACATACATATTAGCAGAGAAAGACTTAAAGAAGGAGAAAGATATTAAAACAGATCCAGAGAGGTCAGCTGGAAGACACAGCCGTTGCGCTGCCCACACACGCCCACACGCTCAACATCATTAGGAACAAAAAGGCAAGACTGAAACAATGCCACAATCTGTGATGCAACCAACAAGTCAGGCGGATCTGTTGGATTAAGCCTCCACCATAAGAATCTTAAAAATACAGTACATCAAGGAATGATGACAAAAGCTTTATTTTCTTCCTCTCTTACACCTCTGATGCATATTTATTTTCTTGAACACAGCTTTCTGGAGTAAGCTTTTTATGTATGTAAACATCTATCTGGAGATTACATGAGATGATTAAAATCTCTTTTAGATTACTTGTCTAACAGATGAGAAATGTAATGCAATCAGAACACGCTGGCATTAGGAGTCAATTTATTACACGTTTGGCTGGCATCCACTGAGTAAATTGGTTCTTAAATGAGCTGTTCCTTGCTTTGGAAGTCTGTTGGGTATCTTACGCCACCCAGTGGGCTGGACAATATCCAAACAATAGAGAAATCATCAGAAAGCAGTGCTGGGTAATGGAATGATTAATATTATTTTATTTCAACCTTCTGGTACAGTGAAATATAGTGAATAGTTTAACATTTTACAAGTATTTAGTAGATCAATCTTCAATCATGTCTAGTCCAAGCTCAGTCTCAGTTAAAGAGATACATTGTCGTTGTGTTAGAGATTCTGGCCCTGCACACGTCACATCCTCCAAAAAGAGGACATTGTCAACATGGACCATTAGCCACTTCCACAGATACTCCATCCTCTTATCGCACACCCAGGGGTTCCCTGATAAGATCACCCTAAAAGAGGATTTTCTGCCATCGAGCAGTCCAAAGGGGAGACTCTGCAGCTGGTTCTGATTGAGCATCAGAAGTTCAAGATGTTCAAGACCTTTCAGGAGGCAGCCTGGGACTTCTCTGAGCTGATTCTGATTAAGAAACAGATGTGATAGTTTCAGGTTGTGGGTGAAGGTTGTGGGTTTTAGGGATCTTAATTTGTTACCTAAGAGATTCAGTCTCTCCAGGCGGTGCAGGTTCTTCAAGTCGTCAGATTGAATGTCACGCAGATTGTTGTCACTCAAGTCTAGATCTTCCAGATTGGGCATCTTCTGAAGCAGAGCGGCTGGTATAGCTGTCAAATGGTTTGTAGACAAGTCCAGTTCGGTTAAGCTACTGTTGTGAGAAAACCACTCAGCATCTACTTCTTCAATCAGATTGTTCCTCAGCCAAAGACTTCGAAGTGAAGCATGGTTGAAGACATTTGGAAGAAGATCAACCAGCCGATTTCCCGTCAAATCCAACTTGTTCAAGTGAGGAACGTCCTTCAGTAGATCTGCAGGAAGGCTCGTCAGGTTGGTGTAATATAGCTGGAGGTGCTTTAAAAGGGGCACAGCTCTCAAATGACGGGCTGTAATACTGCTGAGGTTGGTGGATTGGATGGACAGTTTGGTGGTGTTGGAGGGTAAACCATCTTCAGGAAAATAGTGAAGAGAGCCTTGGCTGCACTCCACCTCTGCACCCAAAAGTGAAAAGGAACAGGAGCACAGATCTGGACATGAGTGGGCGCCTTTAGTTTGATAAGTGAACTCAGCAAGTGCAGCAAAAATCAGGAGTATCCACAACATCATATTAAAAGCACTGCAATACACAAAACAAATACAATATAAGAGAGTGACCAATACAGGGTGCAAAGAAACATTTAAAATCTACAATGTGAATGTCTGATCATAAATGCATGATCCTACCTGGGCATGAGGGCTGAATTCCTACTGTTTTTGACAATGGACTTGGTTTTATATAATGTTAAAGATTTTCCCATGGCAGTAAATCAGGACAAAATGTTGCAAGAGGCAAACAAATCTGATCAAACAAACCAGCTCATCCACCAATGAGTGATCAATGTTTCTGGACTTTCTAAAACTAAGAAAATCAATAAGTTCCTGCAAAAGGTTAATGCAACAATATAACAAGTTATTTTATACACTAAATTGTCCCATATTGTAAGTCAGTAATTTGTGTAAATGTTGCTTTCAGAAAAATCTGTTTTATTGTAATATGATTGAATCCTTTAAAGAATTTTCATTATCACATTTCTAGGTATTTGGAATCTTTCTTTAAATACTTTTTAATTAATAGTTTGAGATGGGGGTTCATTGTCTTAATAACTTTCTTGCTGAGAGTTAGATGAGAAGATTGATACCACACTCAAGCGTGTTGATTTTATATTTTATATGAAGCTGATAAGCTTAGCTTAGCTTAGCTTAGCAAAACGACTAAAAGTTGACTGTCGAAAAATCCACCTACCAGCATCTCTGAAGCTCATATACAACAAAGCCTGTTTGTTTAATTTGTAATAAAAACTGAAGTGTAATTATCCAATTTTTAGGTTTTATAGTTGTTTTTTACTTTGGAATTGGTCATGCTAGCAGTTTTCTCAAGTTTTGAGTCTTTATGCTAAGCTAAGCAAAGCACCTTTCCGCTATAGCTTCATAGCAGTTCTAAAGACTTGAGCAGGGTATTAGTCTTTAGTGAATAATTGCAAAAAGTGGCTTGGTTTAACTTCTTGAAGTCAATTTATTTCACACTATATTGACCTTTATTTAAAGTGCAAAAAAAGACAGAAACTCCTTTTGTGTCCTTACTCAAATCATGTTTTAATACACATTCACAATTGACAAAGACAATGTTTCACTGATAAAAAGACAGTTTTGACATTATTAGGATGAAAACTGTTATGATTTAATGTTAAGGTCACTCTGTGTCAGTGACATCACCGGGCGCCCCACCAGAGACTCCGGCTTGGCACATATGACTGTCTCAGGCAGGAAAACCTTCTCCTTGTTCTTCTGAAGCCACCTCAACAGGTACTCCACTTTCCCATCGCACAGCCAGGGGTTGTTGGTCAGGTCCAGTCCCTCTTCGTCAAGGGATTTCAGAGGGTCCAGTAGACCTACGGGGATGTGGCTCAGCTGGTTGTCATCCAGACTCAGGAGTTTGAGCTGACTAAGCTCCTGAAAAAGGTTCTGGGGGAGTTTGTTGAGCTTATTGCGACTCAGAAACAGATATGTGAGGTTATGGGTGCCCTGTAGTGTGAATTCATCCAGGGTTTCTAACTTGTTGTTTTGCAGGTTTAGCCTCTCAAGTTTGGCCAGGGGGTCCAGAAATGCTGCAGAAATCTTCCCCAGACGATTGTTGGAAATGTCCAGATTGTATAGGTGGGGAAGTTTCTCAAGAAGAGCAGTTGGGATTTCTGTTAAACGGTTCCCAGATAAGTCCAACCAGGTGACGCTACTGTTATCAGGAAGCCAATTAGAATCGACTGCTTCAATCAGGTTATTCTTCAACACCAAGTTGCGGAGTGGGGCATGGCTAAAGACGTCCACAGGCAGTTCAGACAGTTTGTTTCCTGTAAGATCCAAAGTGTGTAGAAGAGGAACACCTCTGAGGAGGTGTGAGGAAAGGTTCTGCAGGTGGTTGCTGTACAAGTGGAGCCCTTGCAGCAGAGGTGTTGGGTTCAGATACTGCTCCGAGATCGAGGAGATGTTCGTGAACTGGATTGTCAGCATGGTAGTGTTCTTTGGAAGATCCTCAGAGGGGTATTCTGTCAGGGGAACGCTATTACAGACAACCTCGCTTCTCCTGAGGTAGCATTTGCAGAGTGCGGGGCAGGACAGAGTGCCATAGCAGAAATACGCCAACCAGAAGAAAGCAAAGAAACACCAGGACCTCATTACTAGACCATGAGAAGGAGAGGACACAGAGAATAAAACAGTTAGAATGAAAATGCATTAGAAAAGTTGCCAGGCCTAAAATACCCTGCAGAAGTATTCATCAATCCAAACACAAATAAAAACACAAATCTTTTCCTGATTATGCACATAATGTTAAAAAACACGATTTACAGAAAAAACGTACTGTTTTTGAAGATGCACGTCAATCAGCCAGAAAGAGATTCAGATGTGCTCTCTTGCAAATTCCTGAGTCATTTGGGGAGCAGATTCCCCCAAACTAATCATTACTTAATGTGTAAACAAGGACCCGTCACTATACAGTCATTTGTCAAGGACAGGTGGTTGCAACAGACTGTGTGACTCAAATGTGCAGGGGAAGTACAAAACTGGAAAACTTTACGTGGGTTTATTAAATGAAAAGCTTTGTTTTTGCTTAAAGTTGCTGATTCTAAAATATAGAAGATGCAGGTGCAGACTAACACAAGCAATTTATTAAACAGGAGGCAAATCAAAAGCTTACTTTATTAAAGTTCTGCAAATATTGTCCAATTGAAGTCCAACAAAACCAGGAAAGACCACAGGAGGAAACTCAAGGATAGGCACCAGGAAATCCAAAAATGGAACAAAGGTTGAAATGATGAGACAAACAAGGCTAGTAGTGAAGGTACACTAAATAAATTCAATACAAAACTAAAAGAGAATAACTCATTACAACTGGTTTATTTTAATATGATAAAGGAGGGGGGGGAGAAAAGAAGAGAGCATGTGAAAGAGAGAAACATATGAAAGGCTTTCAACCTTAAGGAGTTAGCTCAAAATGTAACTGACATAAACAGCAAATGAGGTCATACAGGAGGGTGTTAATCAAGAAACTGATTACAAATCAGCAAAAAAATATATATATTGTGTGGAGTTATTTTAAGGCATTTAGAAAAAGAGTTTAATAACTGTGTTGTGTTAAAACCTTCAAAGCCCCCCCATTTGTTGGCTGTTTTCCCTTTGATCGTATGCACCCACGTGTTAGGTATTAAGCTGTGTTGGAAGAAATGTAAATATTCTTGCCTTTGGTAGAATGAAGAAAAGACTGTGCACTCAAAATAAGTATTGGCAGATGCTTAAAGTGTAAACACAAAAAGTGAGGTAACACTTTATATTATGGTCAAAATATTCACCATTTACGAGTTGCTTATTAGCATGCTGAATAGTAGCATGGTTGCTTATTAGTCATTTTTAACTGCTTATTGGTACCTTATTCTATGTTACTATATTCTATAGCTACTAGATTATTAACTCAAATCCAAATTACTCCCAATTAAATCTTTGTATGTTCCCCATTCTTAAGTTCATAACTTATTCAAGTAATCCGTCCATCCATCCATTATCTATACTGCTTTTCCCAATCGGGGTCGCCAGGGGCTGGAGATGATCCCAGCTGTAATTGGGCGGGAGGCAGGGAACACTCTGGACTGGACGCCAGTCAAATCCAGGGCTGACATTCAAGATTCAAAATTCAAGATTTTTATTTGTCACATGCTCATACAGATGTGCAGTGAAATGTAAAGACTGTTCTGCAAGGCCATGCAATAAACACTCAAAAATTACTAATACACATGTATGCAGTACATACAGAAACAGACAACCAGCCACACCCACATTCACACCTAAGGGCAATTTAGAGTCATCACTTAATCTACCAAGCATATCTTCAGACTGTGGAAAGAAGTCGTAGAGATCTCAAGCAGGTACTGGGAGATCATGCAAACACAGAAAAGCGGGGCAGCTGTGTATCAGTGGTTGCATCAGTCATTTCTCAACCTGAAGGTTAGGAGTTCGATCCCCATCGCCTGCATCCATATGTCTGATGTGTCCTTGGGCGAGACACTTAATCCCAAATTGCTCCCACTGCTTTGTTGCAAGGTGTGAGTGTGTATGACTGGATTAGTTAATACTGATGGACACTTTACATAGCAGCTTCTACCATCAGCGTGTGAATGGGTGTGAATGTGTTGGTGTGACATGCGGTGTAAAAGTTTTTTGAGTAGTCAGAAGACTAAAAAAGCTTGATACAAGCTCAAATTCATTCACCATAACTAGTTCACTGGTTTGATGGTAATGGTGAGTATTGTGACCTTAATCATCATATAATAAAGAGTTACTGTGACATGAGCATCTACTGAAAAAATATATATTCCTAATCTATTTAAAGTGGAGGAGATTTATACAGAACAGAAAATGGAAAAACTAAAAGTAAAGGTAAAATAGTGCAAAATTGTGCTTCAGTAAAATACTAACCTTTTTTCCCCCACAATGCAAATAAAAGCGGATCCATCATTCTTTATCATCTTAATTTAAAATGTGAAAAATGTTTTATGTAAATTCTTTAAAATAGAAAGTAAGGCTCTACAAATAAATGTGCTTTTTGTAGAAACAGCATGCAAATAAAATATTCTGGTTAAGATCAAGTACCTCCAATAAATATTAAAGTACAGCACCTGAGAGAATGTACTCACAAACACTGCAAGGAAAACCCTTGACTTTAGAAATGTTAATTAGCAGATGTTAATGAGGAGGAAAACAGCAGGAGAGAGCTGCGTGCCACCTCAGGTCACTGCAGTCACTGCAGCAGGCAGGTAAAGCAGCTTTCACGGTTATTTAGGTGGAACATACAGTCACACAGTCGATGGAGAGAATGGATTAGCCCTGCAGTATGAGATACCGTTTTAGCAGATGGGCAACATGATGAAGCATTACATTATGTATGACGAGTGCCAGTTGGCTTTAGGCTGTTCTGAAAGATTTATTTCAGTCAAGCCCACTCACTCCACATGCAGTTGCTAGATAGACGGACCTATTCTGGTGCGGTTCAGATAGTCTCCTTAAATACTCTTCAGTCAGATAAAAGACCACTGAATGTCACAGTAGTCTGGATAATCAATGTGAAACGAATCTACATCTATAAATTGCAAAAGGAATCTATAATAATGTCACAGCCTTTATTGTGGTTTATTTTTTGAAATCGCTGCAGTATAACTATACTGTGTAAACTGAATATCATTTGTTATGATTCTTAATGAGCGTCCCTTTAGAATAATCAAGATGTCACTGATACAGGTTCAGGGTTCAGGTTCCTTTATTTGTACCTGTAGGTAAATTCTTGTAATTCACAGTGCAAGGTAGCTTTTAATGTGCTGGTATTAGACTTCTGCAGATTCTGATTCCAGTATTGGAAATGTCTCAGTTTTTAAACAAGGTATAAGATAGCAGCAAGTACCCCCGTCAGTGAAACAAATAATCCCATACGATGGTTTATAAGTCCCCTGAAAAAGTCAACGTCTTTCTTTTCTTCAATAACAGAAGCCTTCCCGACAGCAGTAATAAATAAAGTTTACCTGCCACAAGCAATAACTGTCCAAATGAGGCAAAGCAGAACAGTGTGCTGCTTCCAGAGAGTGCAGTAAGCCAAAGCTATTAAAATGCCAGCAGTCATTGTCACATCTACTTCTGTGCAACTGAAAAGGGAGATAATGAAAACCTTTTAAAAGAGAGCTGCTAAACATTAGCTCAGTTTGTTTGCAGGTAAATCAGCTTTAATATGTAAAGAGAATGTATTTCCACAGGCAAATCTATTTCTTTTAGAAAGTTATTTTTAACTGCTGCACTCGTCTGTTAATTACTTCTCACTGATACTGATATCGTTGACCCTAGGAAGAACAGATGCTGCAATGCTGTACTTACAGTGATGATCTGACTGATAACCTTGAAACTCTAAAATCACAGCTTTGCTCAATTCTCATGTTAATAACAAAAGAGGAAAAACTCAATAGCACCTTGATTAAATTAACACACTTCATTACCCTTTTCAGATGCTTTGTTTTCAAATGACCTGTTTTTTAATCTAATTTAATCACTATTTAAGATTATATAAAGTGTGTCAGTTTGGATTGGCATATCTCTTAATGCTCCTGGTCTTTTTAACTCTGGGAAGCACTTTTAATTGCTCTATGTATGATTAGTGATTTATAAATAAACTTGCCTTGTTTGCACTTTTCCACTGCTCTTCATGCTGTTTGTACATTATGTAAGAAGGGGAACTTTGTCCGTGACATCCAGGCAGAAACTTCGGATTAAAACATTGATGCACAAAATAAGAAGGTGGATGTTTTGATTGGTGTTAGTCCTGCCTTTCTTTGCCTGTATTGTTACATATTGACACAAATCCTGAACAGCAATACATTGAGACGAATCCTTTAATTTGAATCGATCAAGAAAATGTAATCGTCCATTATGGGGTAACAGAGTTTATTTGATTTGTCATGAATGGTGAAAGAAAACACAGTTCCTGTTCATCTTACTTGTTTCTACTTTACATCTGATGGATCTACTTTATCAACAGTCATAATGGTGTCAATTCCTCCATTCAGTATAACTGTGTTCATTTACAAAAACAAGCATATACTGTATAATGTGCTGTTGACTTATATCAATTCAAATAATACAATCAAATACTATGAGCTGAACTGTCCGTGTTACAATACACAGACAGACCTCTTAATCCTATATACAAATGTTCACACACATGCTAACACCTCACAAACACAAATCCATGTGAGTCACTGCAGCTGGCTGAATAAAATGTCCATGTTTTTGTGATATTAAAATTAGGCAGCTTTAATCACCGCGTGTTGGGCTGAGGTTCTACTGTTTTTTTATTGTTGAAGATGAAAATGAAATCTCCCTCAAATCTGTATACTGCTCATCTTCCCTCTTGTTAAAATAACAAAGACAGTCTCGTTCTCATTACGGCAGCCAGTTTCTGTGATTAGCACTTTTTCAGTCTACTTCCCTGAAGAAACAACACGTGTAGACACTGCCTCCAGACTGCCGCTGTGAATCCACAAAGATGAAAATGCACATCTTTGATCAGCCAGGGTTAACTGTGAAGAGAGAGAGAGAGAGAGAGAGAGAGAGAAAAACAAACTAATGTGAAAACCTGGGATGCTACCAACATGATGGCTGGACTTCAAAAGCACGCCCACACAAAATCCACACATATTACACAAGGAAGCAATCCAGTATTCTCACAATGCATGAGTAAAATGCATAAATAGCAGACAAAGACGAGAATAATCGTCTGTAAAGAAGTAAAATCTAAAATCATTTTTCCGACTGGTGCTTGATTTTCTTTTCTTTTCTTAAAAAAGGTTTTAAAAGAAGATTCAGATATCTTCTCAGTATGGTAAATATAGCCAGGTTCTCTATGAGGGGAACAACACTTGCCCTGCAGCATTACTTAAGTAAACAGTGTGACACTTAAAGGGGTTTATGATAGGTATTAAGCAAACTTTTCCTTTAATGGCAAAGTATAGATCTAGGTGCCAGAGGGCAGATTTTGATGCCTACTCGTTGAGCATTCAGTTTCCCCTGTTTCCAGTAGGCTACTAAGCTAAGCTAAACTAAGCTAGCCAACTGTTGGCATCATATTTGATATCTATGGAGTATATTTTAAACTGTTAAGTTTTATTAAGGAAACTGCCCCCTCCTGATTATATGTTATTGCATTAGCATCCGAGGAGTACATTTCCCTCAGATCGATCCATTCAAACGTTGTCCTGGTGCAAAATTATCTTTCAGCATTGTTGCCTTTGACACTTTTTGTCCTTAAGTATATTTTTAGACTTTTTGGATGTTATAGGCAAAGTGGGAATATAATTACTTCAGTTTTCTTACATACGCATATTTTAAATCAGTCAATTGATTGATGCAGAGTTGTAAGCTAGTTAGCCACATGACTCAGCATTTTCCATTTTCCAAACTGGGCTCTTTCTTTATGCCTAATTGTCTGTAACTGTTGTTTTCTAATTCAGTATCCTGTCTGTGCTTTGTTGCAGTTTTACAGTGTCCAATTCTTTATTAAATATTAGAAAAGTTGGTATGTTCGTATACGTACAGCTGTTAGCTAACTGTCCTGATTTAAATATTGCTAACTCATTGCATGGACAGTATTTTTAGGACTCGTTCTTATACAATTTCTTACGTAGAGTTTGATGATAAGATTGGAATTGGCCATCATGTAAATATGGTACATATTAGGCCTGAGCTAGCATACTGTTGGCTTAGATTAAAACAAGCCCTAAAAGCAGCGGACACCATCAAGCCTGCTCCATCTGAAGGTTAAGAAAATGAGCCTGTCAGCATCATAATGTCAAACTCTAGCTTTAAAACTGGTCATAATGCAGACTATTAACTATCTGTGTTATTTTGGATCCAGAACCCACTGAGGAATATGCATGTCTTTTTTTTTTTAAATTTTCATATTTTACTTCTTGCACACATGCTTAAAACGGAGCACACATTTTCCTAACAATCACACTGTTACTGGACAGAATCACAAAGATATAGTTTGAACTGTAAAAAGAGAAAATCACACAGACACATTCCTCCGGCCCCACTAAGGCCTCCTAATAACTGCAAACACACATGCAGAGGTGCAGTTACCCTCTATCCCCCCTCCTTCACTTCCATCAGAAGAACATATCATCATCATCATCATCATCATCTTTATCGACATCATCCAACGACCAACTCCAGTCTTTCAGGCCAAAATCAAGCAATCTGAAATAGCAAATGTCAGGTTCATCGAGGGCTTATGGCAGTGTACTGCTTCATTTACAGCCGGGGCAATACATGCCAGGTTTACCAGGGGGTAGTGTATAGCTTGCAGTTTAGTGACTAATCTTGCCTGTTATAATGAGGGGAGGTATTAATGCACACAGCAGCACAGCATTACAGAGGGCAGACGGGCACGACAAGCTCGGCTACTTACAGCCTCCCAGCATGAGAGACGTTAGAAAGGTGGGGTCAGAGGTGAGGAGGTCAGTGGAGGATGATACGGAGCATGGGGCCAGTGCTGAGGGATGAAAGCTGGTTATGTTGTGGCTGAGAGCAATTTGACAACTAAGGGTCTTAATCAATCACAAAACATAAGACTGATATAGTTGGTGTCTCTGGAAAAATTGTGGTGCCTTTTTTCCTACTCCATAAGGTGGCTACATTTGCTATGCTAACTGTGCGATTCTGGAGAATTAATGCTGCATACAGGGATTTGCACATGCAATGACTCATGTATTTTATATAAAGCAATACACCCTTTGTTAGCGACAACTTTAAGCCCCTTTCAGCCCAACATGACTGGGAATCAACAAAAGAGGCATCATACTGACGATGCTTGCTGGTTTGATGTAATTGAGTAAAAAAAAGGAGGTCCTTTTTTTGACATGAGTGTGTTCGCCTTAAAACCAGAACATACCTTACACAATATTATGATATAACATACAAGCTTTAGATTTTTATAAAACTGAAAAACTATTTAAAGAAAGACCTACTGTAAAGCCAGAGTGAGCTTGACTTATTCAGAAGTAAAAAATACCACAGAAACAAACTGACCATCAAATTTTCAAACATTTTATGCATGGTGTTTCATTTTCTCGTACTCACCTGCCCTTCCCTGATGGCTGTCTGGTGGACTGGATCTTAATGGCTCCACGGTGGGTCGACATGTGAGGTGAACCCCTGGGTGAAGGTCGAGGGGAGTTCCGTGGAGATGGGCGTGATGCTTCAGGAGGGGTGCTTGGGGCTGCTGAGGGAGGACTCATGGTCGGGTGTTTCCGTGGGATTCGTTTGAGTAGGTGACTAACCCAGCGCTGCTGCTCCGCCTGAGAGTTGGCCAGCAGGAGCAGCTCTTTGGCTGTGGACATGTCGTAGTTCACTGGAAAAAAAAGAGATGAAGAATTCGGTAAAGATAAAAAAAAAAGAATAAGCTATTATATGGGTTCCTTAGCTTTAAGTGTCAGGTTCATTAAATCAACCAAGTGTATTTAGAAACTTTCAAATACAGCAATCCATGGTATGGAAAAAGTGAGATTCCATCTCTTGACTGGACAAACTGACCTTTGCAGGGCACAATAACTTCCTCCTTTTTGTCTAGGTGGTCTTTGTGGCACTTGGTATGGCAGCGGCGGCACTCAAGGGCTGGCGGGGGCTTGAAAACGTGCCACAGGGGCCGAGTGCAGGCCTCACAGCTCGAGGGGAAGTGGTAGAGCGTGAGGATGAACTCGTGGCCCTTGTGACTGATGTAAGAGGGACGCTCCCCAAACGGCATCGGCTCCACTACAACCTCCTGGTCACGCTTACTCTCCCCTTCATTGGCATACAGGATCTGGCAGAAGAAATGTCAGAGAGTGGAATTTTAGTGACAGGAAGCTGAATTAAGAAACCAAACCTGATGTCTACTGACAGTGTGTGAAAGGAGGAGAAGGTGACGGATATAGAATGAAGCAGTGAGAGTGTAACCTCATTACCTGAAATATCCTTGGAATCTCTTTGGGGTCTGCACGGTACACATCAGTGTGAGTGACAGGTCGGGCATGAAACAGTTTGCTAAAGGAGGAAGGGAGATGAAGAGTTAAATGTTGACCAAGGAAATTATTCTTTATTGTTATTCTAACTATAATCAATAAAAAACACAGGCTTTTTATTTCTCTGTCAAGTTATCAGTGATTCTGCTTCTTCAAGTCAAAAGTCTTTTATCTCATAATCACCATTATTTCATGTATTATTCTCCCACATTTGAACATTCGTTCCTATGTATGTTAACTTCTCTAATGTCTGTTTGTATCCAAGCTAGCTACATATCAATTTGAATATGTATTTAAAGCAATAGGTTGGTTAGCATTGAAATTTTATACAATCCTTAAAATCCCTCAGGATGAATTATATAACTTCAGTGTTAAGGTATACTTTTAATACAGTTTAAAACATTTTAGTTCAAATACACAAACATTTCTGTCTGGGATGGTAACAATGTTTCATATAAGGCCTGCTAAACTTCATGACAGTGCTGATGATGGATTTAAGTTAGAAGAAAATCCTCAACCATATAATATTATGAAGGGACACCAATACCAAGAGAATTCAATGGTACCTCTTTTCAGCCATAATTTTATCATGTTGACATTGATTGACTGCCATTAAGAATATCTTCTTTTTTTTGAAGTTGGGAACAGAAAGGACTTATATAGTTATTACTGCAGCTTTAAATCGGTACCGTTTTAAAAGAATATCCTACCCTTAAACTTTGTTGTTCTGATACACAGCTCTAGTAAACACTTTTAATGCTACAGAAGTTAGCTTGACAGCATTAGTATCAAACTTAACTTACAGCACTTCTGTACCAAAGCACCAGCTCTCCGAGCATGGCTTTAGACTTCCAGTAGTAACTACCCAGAGTAGAAACTACTCTTTTAGAAAAAAAAAAGTTTATTTATTCTTGAATTATTAGTTAAACCCTGCTGCAATGACTCACTCGATCTCCAGGGTCATAAAAGGGTTGGCCTGCTCTCGGTCCAGCTCGCTGTTGTAGAACAGGATCTTCTTACTGCTCACAACTACATACTGTAAAGGAAACAGAAAAACAAGGGCTGAGCGATTAAAGGTGGCAATGACTCAGGGGTGACAGTGATTACTAAGAAACAATTCGATAGATATGAGGAAAAAGGGTGAATACTTTACTTTTTTGTCCCAGCCAAAGCGCTTTGTCATCTTAGTGGGAAGTGAAATCCAGCCTTCTAGCCTAGAGTCTAGTTAACAGAGGAAAAAACATGATTTCAGAGAGTTCTTCAAACCAAAGTGTTAAGTAGGCTTACTGCATGCTTTAAGAAACAGACTTTTCATTAGGAACTAAAATGGTTATAAAGAATCTCTACCTCCTAATACAGCAAATGTCTGTTCCAAAAGACAAACTTAAATGTGAAGCTGTTAAATATAAGCTTTGGAAAAACTCTGCACACAGACTTCTCCCCTTGAAAAATGCTTCCCCTCATCTTTTGCAGCGCGAACATTTTGAACAAATCAGGGCAGCATCAAGCTGTGAGAACACCCGTGTCCGGCGCACAATAAAAAGGATTATAGCACAGCAGAGACGGAGACAACAGAGCAGAGGGATTAGCTGGGACTTTGCAGGGGACGGACCAAGGTTGTTTCTCAATTCGATTCAATTAGAAAAAAAGTATCTGATTCAAAAACACAAAGGTTTTCCTGTAAAACGGTATAAACCCTTGTTAGGTCTATTGCAGTGTTTCATTTTGAACTCCACTCGCCATGCAGGGTCACCTGCAGGTTCAGCCTCAGGGGGCTGATCGTAGGTGAGGGCCAGAGGACGAGGGCCCTGCTCCACCTGCCCTTCATGCTCGTCATCGTCCTCAGAGTCAGAGTCAAAGAGAGAGTGAGCTGAGTGAAGGTTGGGCCGTGTGTCGATGCAGACAGATTTGTGCGTGCGCTGGTAGGTGAAGGACATTGATTCGGAGGTGTGGGAGTGAGTAATGCGCACTGTGCAGGATCCCGCAGGAGGAGTTGAGGTCAAATGAGGGTGGAAAAGGAAAAAGCATTAAGAGGAAAAGGTCAAAATCAATTGGCCTGGAAGACAAAGAAACTCAAAAGTGAAAAGTGATGGAACAGTAAGAACTCAGAAAGAGAGTCTGCAGAAAGAAGGATGCAGAGACTGCATGCAGGAGTGTCTTTCAGAGTGGGAGGAGATCCTTTTGATCTACCTGGGTATCCTTCACCAGAGTCCAGCTCGTTGCCGCTGCTGATGCTGGTGGAGTCCAGAGAGTGAACGCTGAGAGAGGTGATCTGGCAACGAAGCTGCTCGATGTCGCTGTCTTTACTGTCCAACGCCATCTGAAGCTCCAGGCGCACCTGGTTCTCCTCCGCTATCATCTAAGGAAACATGTTAACAGATTTTTATTTCTCTGCATGTTTTCTATCACAAAATGTATAATATCAATATGCTGCTTCATAATCTAAAACCCAATTGACTAAACTCCTAACCTAGTTGTATATTTGTGTAATGGGAGTAACATAGAGCTGTGTATATTCATCATTATTCAAAATACAATGCTACTAATATTAACAGCCCTAAAATGACAATATCCATTCAGCAACCTTAATGAGCAAAAATAAAAGTAAAGGTGCATATCATGATCATAAGAAAATCATGGAAAAATACAGACCACACATTTTCTTTGACACAAAATTGCAAATGTTAGGCGACCCTGAAGGCCCAAAAAGTTAAAAAAAAAACATATCTTATCTTCATATCATATCTTAAAACATTATCTCATATAACAAGAAGCAGCAAATAAGTTCTATAATAAATATTGTAATAAAGCAAGTTTTCTTTATGAACACAATCTGTGTTCACTGAGTGTTGGGCTTTGGGAATAAGAGCACCAGAGGGTAAGCAGGAACAAAGCTTAATTCATGAAATAAATGAACTTGCCTATGTTAAACAAAATATTTTCTTTATAAGGGGCATAGATAAACACTTAAATAAATAGATGAACTACTCATCCATGTTAACAGATAGCTCACGGGTCAAACTATAAAACCAAAATACAATTCAAAAAATTGGGTTTAGCTTTTGCACTTAGAGGCAGGGTTGGTCATTTTCTCGAGATAGACTTTTTAAGATTTTGGTTGAAATTGTCTTTAGCTCCTGACAGACATCAATAACTCATGTGCTCTAAAAAAGGAACAAAGAAAATATCTCATCTGTAGCAGTTGTAAGCATGTAAAAACTTTGACCAATGTCTGCAACGAGGTACCAAACTGATGAACCAATTGTCTCCCCGCTCGTTCTCTCCCCCATGCATGCACGAGCCCACACTCAAAGCATGAGCTGAGCTCCTCTTCTGGACCAATGGCGCTTGTGCATGTAAGTGAGGGGCGTGGCTTTTGAGGGAGCACAGAGGGGAGTGGGTGGGTGCAGACGGCGCACTGAGGGAATGCTACTTTCAAAATCATGCTCGTTTTTGAAAATGACCAACCCTGCCTTTAAAGAGTGTTTCTCCTGCTCTCTTAAACACAAGAACCACGAGAACAAAATATTTAAATTGCTTTGGTAATAGTCATGGACACATTTTTATGTTTTGCATGCAATGTGCAGAAGATAAATATTTGCATATTTTTGACCTTGGCTTTCCACCTTTCTCTTCCTAGACTTTCTGGAAAAGTGATTCTTCTGATTAGGAAGCTTCATAACTCCACATAGATTAAGGCATTTATAATCCGTTTGTAACCAACAGCAAAGTACAACTGCCTTACTAATATAATCAAGACTTCAATCAGCATAAAAATCCTCCGTATCTGTCAGAAACACAGATGGTTTTCAGCAAATGTGGCAGTATGAATTCACGCTGTGCCATTTGTTGGTATGCTGGTGTGCTGTGTGGGCGTACTGACCGCCTGCATATCCGTCATCTCTCTCTGATATTTGATGATGGTGCTGTTGAGCTTCTCCTTCTCCGCTCTCAGCTCCAGCTGCAGCTTCCTGTTCTCCTTTTCCTTCCTGTGCACCTCGTTGTCAGGGCCCCGGGGGCCTCCTCGTATCGTCTCCCTTCTGTTCATCACCTCATGCAGCTTGTTGATAGCCTGAAAGCGATTAAAAAAAAAAAAAAAAAATCAACAATGCAGCTTTACTGATCTCTCTATGCTAAATCTGTATTCAGGGAGTAAACAGGGAAAGCTGCAGGAACATCAATAGGGCTTGGAGATAGATTTTTAAACCCGTTTAAGATTGTCTGAGTTCAGCACAAGCCTGCAGCTTGACATATTCTTATCATGACATGAAAGACGCCTGTGAAAAGTCAAAGAATGAAAGTAGAGAACGTTTTCCAGACTTCCCAGGCCTGTGTAGGCTCCCAGACATCATACCTGAATTTTTAGTGTCCTTTCATTCTGCAGTTGTTTTTCAAAGCTCACTTTGAGCATGTTCATCTTCTTCTCCTCCTCTTTGGCTTGCTGGAACTCTGTATAAATAGCAGTAAAGAATATGCATTCAGGTCTTGTACACATGTTTACTCAAAGGAATTCACAGAAGAAATCTGTAACTTGTGCTTCAAATTTGCAGACCGGTATTCTGCCATTTTAAAGACACTTGCTTCCCTGATGGAGACATTAATGGCTTTTTTTTTTTACAGCCTTCTCTTCATAAATCATGCGGATGTGTAAGACAGCTTTGTAACACATCTTTCCAGCAGTCAGGGGAATGTCATTCCTGCAGAAGTCTGGTGCTCATTAAATCAGAATGACACTCACGCTGCTGCATGTCTTTCAGCTGGTTGTTCAGCTCCTCTTTCTCGCTGGCTAGGTTGGCCACATCCACCGTCAGAGTGCGATTGGATTCCTCCAGCTATAGGGGGGTGTCGAGCAGAAGTGAGCTTTACTAAATAAACCAACAGCAAACAGGCTAGCAAACTTCTTTTACATGACACACTTGGACAAAGAGAGGCACATAAACAGTGCTCTTCTTGTCTTGTTCTTCTCTTTTGTGCTCTATGATCAAAATGTCTGTGATATGCTATTTAAGAGGTATCCTGTGAGACTCCTTGCAGAGATACTGAGCAATGTTTTTATTAGAGAGTGGATCTTTAACTCTGATTTTGACACTTGGTGGCAGTAACAGACCGGGATAGCTGGCAGAATGCCAACAAACGGCAGGAAAGAAAACACATGCTAGCAAACATGAATTAAAAAATGCAGTTGGTGAAATACAAAAAAAAAAATCAAAGTAGGGGTGGGAATCACCAAGTACCCAAGATAAGATATTATCGCGATACTCGAGACACGATATGATTTTTAACATTTTGCGATATGCTGAGAATTGCGATATAATATATTGCAATTAAGCTTTTTAACTGCATATTATGTCCACTACACTAAACTAAATCAAGAACTGTTTTGTCAAATAAGATAAAATGCTCGGTCTGTTCATCTCACTGTAGTCTTTTTATTTGTTTTCAGTCTAAGCAGTTCAAAATTAAAAAGCATATCTAAAATATCATATTGAAAATATTGATTCTTGGCCGCCATGAGACGATGTAATATCAGCACACGAAATATCGCAATGCTATACTGTATCCCACCTTTAACCCCACCTCTAAAAATTAGTTCATGCTAGAAAAGCAGGATTTTTTTTTTAACTATCATAAAAGTGAAAAAATAAATAATATGTAAGGATCTGATCTGTGAGCGCCATCACATTTGTATTTAGCCTTTTTTTAACCCTTCTGTCTGGAAAAAATAAAATACTATTTGGCAGCATTCATATAACAAGCCAATCACATAATGACTCGGTAAAAAACTTGCATCACTGAGCTTCTTCATGACTTGTGTCTGCAGGTCTCTCTCTCTCTCTCTCTGTGCAGCACACACCAGTTGCGACTTCTGAACTTTGTTTGCGATGTATATCGACTGGCTGTCAGTCATTCTGTCCTCTGAGGCCGACATAATGAGCTGATTGGAGCAAACAGTTCGCAGCGATGATTCATGGCGGCATGTTTGGTGTGTGTGTGGTAGACAGGGCTTAGCCGATTGATATGAGGTAGCAGAGGGAGAATCTTCATGTTGCTTACTGTACAGCAACTTTGATAAACATTACTACTTCATAACTTCATCATGTTTGTGGCCTTGCTAAAAAAAGTCAGACCTTCTATCTGAATAGGCATTTTGTTTTTTGAAAAAACAAAACAAAACCCCAAAAATGCAGACACTAATTTCTGACTGCTTTTCAATGATAACTTATTTGGTAAAATAATAATGTGTGTATTATGTTTGCATTAGCAACAAATGGTTCATTCAAGCCACAAACACGATGAAATCATGGCAGCATGACTTCTACAGTCTTCCTGTTTGCACCTCACAGGTGAGGAAATGTTGTCAAAGCTATTGTTTTTTTATATAAAGTCGATTACGCTTTATACAACATAACGTGTAACATGTCGTTCAAAAAAAGAATTTCAAAAGTAGCATAGATCTTCATTATGTCATTGAATTTCAACGTTTTTGACCCCGACTCTGATCTCACCGAGCTGATGGTGGCTTCTTTGTCACTGAGCTCCTGTTTGTGTCTCGCCATCATGTCTTTGATCTCCAGCTCCTTCATTATCTTCTCCTTCTCCAGATCCGAGTACTGCTCCTCAGCGATGGAGCGAGCCAGCTGCTCAGAGTCCGCTTTGGTCAAACTGGCCTCCAGCTGGTTTGTAAGGGAGTCCCTGTGGAGAGAAGAAGGGAGAGTCCAATTAGTAAGATATCTTTAAAGTGAGACAACCAGATAAATCAAATTTCCCTGCTATTATTATGCCAGTCAGAGACGGACTGACAGCCTATGAAGCATTTAAGATGAAGTTCCTGGGTGTGCGCATACATTTTTGTCTGACCTTTCTGTAAATGCATGATTTCAAAGCATTTTTTTCCCAGCAAAAGTTAAACCTCATCAGAGGATATCTACCCGTCTCCAGAAGGCTTTGGTTGTAGTGCCTGAATTTTTGTTACATTCTTATAAAAAAGTAAGCTGAACAAAAACATGCAATTCACTGACTTTATCTCAAAACCCCAACCAAAATATCACTTAGTAATTGTGATTCTGTTTTTTTCTTCATTCATTTAATTTTGTTTCTAATTCTCATTTAATTTTTCATTGTAATTAAAAAATGGAATTACGTATGTGTTGTTTAAACCGGCTTCACATTAAAAAGAAACTTCAGTGCTCTTGTGTCTATTGTTAAAATATGGGATTTGAAAAGGTCAGAACAATAAAGAGTTACCTCTCCTCCTCATATTCTGCCAGGCGTTGCTGCTTATCTTTGCACAGCTTGTTCTTCTCTTCACACTCGTCCTTCAGCTCTCTTATTTGCGTCTTGTAAAGGGTCTTGGAGGAGGACAGGTAGAGATTCAATTAATTTCATATCTCACATACAGGACGAGAGGGAGCATGGGGGGGGGGGAGGAGACACACCTCCGTCTTTCCTCATATCTCCCCACTCCAGCCCCACATTGTAGGTCGATTTAGATTTTCTGCCAGTCTGACAATATAAATGTTAGCGATGCTGAGTGAAAAGTATTCGGCTGTCACTTCTGTTTGACAAGAGGCACAAAAGGAAGGGAATTATTGAGTAGAATTACCGTGAAATACTGCTCTGCCTCCAGTTGGTCCTTCAATTCCTTCAGCTGGCCGCCCGCCTCCTGCTTCTCCCTGGAGCCCAACCAACAAGCCGTCAATCATTTCAGTGTGCCAGCCACCCACCAGAGCCAAAACACTTCCCTCAAATAAAACATGCGGACGGAGCTTCTCCACATCAATTAGCAGACAGTAAAACAACAAACACAACAACTTTATTGTGTGTTAATGTTTGATTGATCAGTGACTAAAAAGACAAGACAGTGAAAATCCTGAGGGGAAAACTGTGAAATATTTTCAGTTAAAACAACACAATTTGATAAAAAATAAAGTTAGCATTCAGCCGCCTACTTCAAAATATTACTGCTAGCCTAAATTAGCCAAACTATAAACTTACTGACGGACAACTTTTCTGGTGTGGCCAGTTGCTAGCAATGTGGCTAACCAATGGCTAACATTGTTTGCAGTTCGACTAGCAATCATTCATCAAAAAAAGAATGATTAGACACACCTGTTTATAGACAGATAGCAAACATTGTTTCGTTTCAGACTATTTTCCTGCAAGAGGATGCTACTCAGACTACAAAACACTTCCGACACCAACATCTCGTCCTGTGTCCTGTTAGACAACAGCTAATGATGTCTCAAACACTTCCTAGATAACATTACATGAGATAATAAGTCAGGTATGTTAACTAGTTATCTCTTAACAGAGGTTTAAATGTAGTTTATGGATTATCTCTTAGCTACTGCATTGGCCATTTTCCCTCTTGTTTATGACTGTTAATGATCTGCTCATTTGCTTATTATTGAGAAAAGATACAATTATAACTCTCAAGAATCATACATTAATTTGACTCATAACCTGGGATACAGTTGTAGAAAATCAGAGTTTTAGCTTCCCGTCTTGAGCATGTGTTCAGAGGCAGTGGCCATTGTGTGAATACGGTGAATCATGTTATTGTGTGTCTGTGTGTTTCACCTGCGTAGCTCTTGGTTCTGTTTCTCCAGGACCGGCTTCAGGTCCAGCAGGTGGTTGAGCTCCTGTTTGAGCTGTTTCTCTGAGGAGCGGAGAACCGACACCTGCTGGTTTTGCATCTTCAGCTCGCTCTGGCTCAGACCGCGCTTGTGGATCTCCTGCTCCAGACGCAAGCTCAGGATCCTAACCTTCAGAACAAACGCACACAGAAGTATATTCAAAACCAAGAGTTATACCAATGATGAATTGTGGGTGGGTGTGTGTGTGTGTGTGTGTGTGTGAGATAAGGAAAAGGTGCAAATCTTCAACGTAATATATAATATATATATACTTAATATATATTTATATATTGTATAGCTATGATGCCCTTTTTTTGTAATCATAAAAAATCTCTTTGAGAAGAAGTTTTCGGTTCCATTCGGGCAGATTGTGACAAAGTCGCCAAAGAACTTTGAGTTTATAAACAGCAACACAGACCTCTTCAGAAAGTTTCTCCTTCTGTGCCAGCAGGTCGTCCAGTTTGTGCTGCGCCTGCTTGTAGTCACAGTCCAGCATGGAGTAATCCTTCTCTAGCTGCAGCAGCTTTCCCTCCACCTGCAGCTTCAAGCTGTGCTCCTCTTGCAGGGTGCTCTCCATCTCTGGATTGAACAAAATAAAACAACCAGTCATTGATTCATTTTCACAATATTTTTCTGCTTGGAATTGAATCTGCTTTGAGCACCAGATAAATGGCCATGAGAGAAGAGGGTTATATTTTCACATTGAGTTTGTTGTAGTTTTCTGTCACTGAGCATAAACCAAATATATTCGCAAATTCCTAAGTAATCTTTCATTTCCTTTCCAGCCTTCCTGAATAACTGGACCTGCTTTTATAGTAAACATTTTTTGGCCTTGTAGGTCATCTCAGTATCTACAATTTAGGGCAACTGATTGCTGATAATTTCACACATCCTTCAATCATCTTTTACAAATTTGTCCTTTCCCCTTCTTACTTTTTAAAGCCTCCGATTTTTCCTCCTCGATGGACTGGTTTATGTTGTTTTTATCTGCCAGCTTGGCTTTGGTGGCCTTGTGTTCTGCCTCCTCCTGCTCCAGACTCTGCTGCAGCGTCTTCAGCTTGAACGTCAAGTTGATCTCTTGGTTGCTCTTCTCCTGTAGAGGCAAAGGGGAAGGCTCGTTTACTCATCATTTCAGGATCAGGATTGTTGTTGTATTAAATCATATTTTTTCGCTGGACAGGTGTGTCAACTGTAAATCTAGAAATGTCAAATTGAAAGAGGATTTTTTTTTTTCTTGGGTCAGCCAACCTTCTCGAGGTCAGTGAGCTTCTCCTGCAGCTGCTTCTTTTCACTCTCGATCTCGGAGAGAGAAGCCTTCACCTCTTTCACCTCTTCTTCCAGGCCTGAGATCCGTCCTGAGGTGCAGAAACGGGAACAGAGAATAAAAAGAAAGATGTTACAGAAAGATTAAAGGAAGCTACAAAGTGAAAAAAACTACAAGAAAATGCACCTTAAGTAGACGTTACTTGATTTTCCCGCATGTTTTCATCCACTGATATTCAAAAAACAACACAACTCATGTTTTTGCTTTTACCTACTCCACCCTGATGGAGAGTTTGAGTAAGAGAAAAAAAAAAAACATGGAGGAATCCAGGCAAACAGTCGACATCGTTGTTTGGATTTGTCCCCTCTGACCTATGCGTGGACTGAGTTTCCGAACAACGTTTCACAAGAGGTTCTGGCTCTGCTCCGGTTCTGCCTCTCAGCCTTTTGAACAGATGTTTCCACCTATGATCTGATATTTCCCAAAGCCTGCTCCAAAACAACTATTCACATCTAATACTCCGTCCAAATACTCCAAACCTCCAGGTTGTGTAATGTCTTTTTTCCCCTGCTGCTTAGGAGATGTTTACAGCAGCAGCAGCAGCAGCACCTCAGGCGATCACACTTTGATTATCGGCGGTTACGGCAGCGAATTAACCTTTTGAAAGTTTGTTTAACCTTTCACATTCCAATAGACACATTACAGTTCATCATAAACAGCTCGTAAATACTGGCCCGCTTGGTTTTTTGCGGGGGTGATTATCGGAGTAAACTTTAACAACCACATCTGAAAATCATTTTCCTTCGGCTTGTTGCTCATTTGTAAACACTGCATGTTCACTATGTGTGCAGATGATAGAAGGTAAAATGTAAAGCTATTCACTCGTTTATTTGATCGTCATATATTTGCACAACCTTAGCCAGAATCAGAGGTGGTAAGCACAGACATCTTTTTAATCAACCTGCAGTCCAGATATTTGTGTAAGACTAACCTTTGATTAAAAATAAAAGTACTTTTTTTTTTAGAGAATTAAAGTCCATGATTTGAAATGTGTTGACTGAGAGTAACAAGAAGAACATCATTTCAGTCTGCTGTTTCAGCGCTAACTGAACCACATGTTGCATTTGGGAGACTATAACATCTGTTTTATTCTAACTTTGAAGAAAAAAATAAAAACCCTGGAAATTCAAGTTGCTTCTGTGTGCATATTAATATTGACGTCGAGCTGCTCTGAATCTTGCCAGCAATATTTGCTGGTTGATTTTAATCCGTATCGTGACTAGTTTTCCGCGCTGTTTACAAAAATCACCTTCACTAAACGCCTCTTCTTAGCGTTAAGTTTCCCTTTAATGATTTTTTGGTCGTTTTATGTGTTATATGTCATTTTAATTATTACAGCTTTCACGAGGGATATGCACTACAGGATGTTTTTTTTTAGTTTTAGCATTAATTTATTAGACTAGTAATCTGTCTTGATGTTGGTTAGGCTGAGCGAATGATGCCAAGCATGCCCCTCAAAAATAGCCAGTTTTCAGCATTTAAAAAGTGGAAATCACAGATGTTTGTGTCAAAATGTAGTGAGCCACACAATTTCACACCTCTGGCAACAAAACACTTCAGATCATACCGGACCAGAAGTCTGCAGCAACACAACCTCTGACTGTAAATATTTACAGTGTGTATGAAAAGATACAGCACAGTTTCACTTGCAAAGTCTGCTGCACAATCTCATGTTTTATCAAATCAAAGTCTAACAGACAGGCACGTCTCACCCTGCAGGTCTGTAATAGTTTCTGTCCCGAGGCTACGATTTCTCCTCTCCTCCTCCAGCTCGGCCTGCAGCCCCCTCAGCTGCTTCTCCAGCTCCATCTTGCCGTTTTCAAGCTGCCTGCTCTTCTCCTGCATCTCCCTGAGGCTGACCTCCAGGCTCTGAGTCTGTTTCTGCGCCTCTGCCTGACTCTTCTTCAGCCGCACCGCCGCCTCCTGCTCGGCCTGCAGCACGGCGCTGGCCTCCTCAAGCTGAAGACGAGGAACAAGAGGAGGATGAAACATTTCGCTGCAGGCTAAACTGACTCAGAACGGCAGCACAATTAAAGGGATTTAATGAGGGAGAAGCAGAAGAAGAAGAATGATATATATAAAAAAAAACACCAGGCACAGCTATTTGCCTGAATATGGCTCACTTAATTAGCATATTTAATTTGCATAAGTACAAACACTTATAAAGCAGTGGGCATTATGAAAAGTTATTACAAGAAGAGGGACAATAGAAAGAAGTCTCTCTCACTTGTTTCTGCAGCTGGATGTTCTTCTCATTGGAGATCTGAGAGTTATGGTTCTTCTTCCTGAGATCCTCTAGCTGGTCCCTCAGGTTGTTTACTGAAATTTAACATAGAAAAATATCAGCTTTTTGACCTGACACATGCAGTGAAGCCTGGAAATACAACCATCCGCCCACTAATAGCCAGCATATACAATATATACATGCTGTGATATAATGAGTGGGATGTAGAAACCCTTAAGGTCAGACCTATTGTGCATGTACAATGTATGAAAATGAGAAACAATTGCGGCCTGCATAAACATACTGTTTCCTAACGAGGTGGATTTATCTGCGTAAGCTGAAATCACACGACATTTAACATCATAAGGGAGATATTCAAGCCTGACGCTAAGATATTTCCCAGGCGCTCACATTCATTCTCCAGGCCGCGCTTTCTGTCACTTTCGATCTCCACCTTGCGCAGTTGGTCGGCGCTCTGGTGCTGCAGCAGAGCTCGCTCTCTCTCCAGCTGCCTGAGCGAGGCCTCCACTTTCTGCCTGCAGCTCATCTGACCGGAGAGGCAATCACAAGCAGTGTGAGAAAATTCATTTAAGTCTTCTTTTTTTAAATACATTTAAGTGGTTTCTATGATACCCATGCACATGCTTTTATCTTTTCCATAAAACATCCGTCCATCTTTTCTTACCTCCTTGTCTAATTCTTTGACCAGCTTGTCTAAACGGTTGGTGGCATTGCTGTAGAAAAGGATAATGTTTGGTTATAGTCGGTTAGTGACATAATAATAATCATAATGTCAGAATCTGTTGTTATCTTTCAAGTCTTACTTGCACTTCTGCTCCAGCTCATCCTTGGCCTGCATCTCATGTTCGAGCTTCTCCTCCAGCTGATTGAGCGTTTTCTGCAGCTGCTCAGACGGACACACAGATGCAGAACTGAACTGTAATTTCCGATGTTTTCATTTGTGTATTTGATCTATTTTTCTGTTACAGACACACAAAAACACCTACTTCTTTCTTACTCTCCGAGCAGGACTCTTTATCCTCAGAGCTTTCCTTACTGTCCTCTGAATCCTGCACAGAGCTGTTGTTGTCTCCCTTCAGCAGCCTGAGTGACACAGAGGAACAGAGGAAAGACATTAACACATGTAAATGAGTTTTTAGAAGGGTTTGTTTTCCTACACTGGAAACAACCAACACTATCCACATTTACACATTTCTACTAACAAGTCACATATTTTACTCTATAGATTCACAATGCCTACTGGGAGGTAAAGGGAGCCCATACACATGTCAGAAGAATTCATTTATTCACCTCAAACTCACAGGAACAAACCTGAAACCTTAATCTCTGGAAAGAAGGGTTGGGAGAAAATATGGATACATAAATATATCATTGTCTTTTCTCATAATACAATCACAAGAACTCTGGTGCCAAATATCGATATTTAGATTTTTCTTTTTTAAATATGGCACTCTATTGAGTTTTCCCTGACAATTGAACTCACTGCTTTACCACTTAATGTCTCCTCACGGTGGCACTTACAACATGAATGAGGGTAAAACGTGATATGAGGTGAAACTGAAACCAAATTGCAGTGAATGAGTAACATGAATCCTGCATTTGACCTTCGTCAGATATCGGGATGTTCATTACATGACTGTCCTGCAATAGATCAATTATCGAGAATCGCTTTAGAGTCAAAGTAGCCTAATCGTGGGAATTGCTTTTTGTATCATGACTTACCTACGATATCCCTCCCCTAGTGGAAAGAGTAAGAAGAGGACTGAAAGATCTCCAGACTTTAGGCTAAGTAGAAAAATACTTCCATCAACTATTTCCTAAAACGGCTGGTAGCAGAACAGTGCGTCTAATCCAAACCTTCAAGTAATCTCCCGCACACCTGTCCAATTTGCAAAGATTTATTGCCAACGTCTGGGTACGAGACCTTCATGAGGCCTTGATGAAGTTCTGGTACTGAAACGTTCTCACATCAGGATTAGATTACCTTCACAGAAACCCAAAGAATCACTCAATGGTGCCAGAAGAATCACTACAAACTCTGTAGCCCGGCTGCATAATGATTAAAGAATCTAAAAATATTGTCCACATCCATATGTTTAAATACCTGCTCATTATGCATGAATTATCAGGATGTATCAGCTATTTACAAAAAAGACTTGTGCACATCTGGGTTACTGACCTTAAGCAACTTTTTTGGAATAATTATTTCTGGAAGCACTCTTTAATTTTTATTTTAAGTTATATTTCGGGCTTTTTAGCCTTTATTGGATAGGCCAGCTGTAGAGAGAGGGAATGTGGGGAGGAGAGAGAGGGGGGATGACATGTAGCAAAATGCAGAGGTCGGATTCGAACCTACAGCCACTGCGATCAGGACTACAGCCTCCATACACGGGTCGTGCATCGTAACTGCTAGGCCATCCAGTGTTCCTGAAGACATTGATTTTGAACCCAAACAGTTTCGGAGTTTAATTCCCTCTTTTGCAAACTCCATAAAAAGTCAGTCTGAGATTGACTCTTCCCTCTTCTCTCCACCAGCATCCTTCTCAGTGACTCGGCCGTGGTTTCCCAACACGGACTACACGGCTGAGTCTGGTAACAGAGAAGGTTTTCTTCTGGGATTTCTACCAGAAAGAAACTTCAGCTGCGAAAGTTACAGCCTCATCCTTAATATAAGAGATAGTTCCAAATACAACCAGAAAGATTATGTGCAAGAATCGTGGGGAGGAAATTAAAACGGCTCCGTTCTCCCTTAAAACAAGTCAGTGAATCATCAAAGTTATTGCAAAGCTGTTTTTTTAAAGTAACAAAATACCTATCACTTAAAACTTGGCTGATTAAACAGCAGTAGGGTCATAAAGCCAAAAAGTCCATGTGTGTTTTTTTTAACTTCTTTCCCAACCAGCAGAGACCGGAGCTTTAAAAAGTGGACTTCATCATAAGAAAACAGGGACTGTCAGAACAAGGCAGCAGTGTGGAGCTCCAACAGGCAAACAGTGTCTCACTGCTGTAAGACTGTATTCAAGGTTTGGCTGGGCAGCTCTCTTTTTCTACCTCTTACATTTTAAGCGCTGAAATATCCTTACAAAAAATGATGTCCTTAGTCTGGAGGCCTTTAACAAGTGCCCACGCATGAAGGCTTCATTTGATTCAAAGTGTAAATCGATTTTATAAAAATCCCAGGATCATGAACACACATAACATGTACAGTATCCAAACATAATATGAGGGCAAAGCAGCAGAAATGTTCTTGAATAAAACACTTACTGATCCTCTTTGAAGTAAGTGAAGCCAATGAATGGAAGCTGGTTGCCCACAAAGGCTCTGGGTGGAGTGAAGGTCTCAACATCTCGTTTGTCCTCCTCTATGTGGTCAAAGTTACTGGTGTCTATGTCACCATTCAGCTCCGGCACGACTGGAGCCACAGCTGGAAGACAGAAACACATGGAGAGTCAATGAGAGGAGTAGGAGAGGAGGAGGAGAGGAGAGGAGGTCTCTATCCCTCTTTCTCCACAGATAGAAGTACACTAACAAGTGTGGTTCTGCTTGAGGTTTCTGCCTGATCAAAGGGTTTTTCTTGACACTGTTGCCAAGTGCTGGGCCACATGGTGGATTCATGTCGGGACTCTTTAAGTAACGTATTAAAGAGTAAAGTTAGATCTGAGTCCTCAGTTAGCTCCGGTTGTGATTAGGCTCTAACTAACTAAGAGGTTAGAGGAGAAATAAAACATTTCTTTGAATATGGATTTACTTTGAAGGAGCATCACAGCCAGCGTTGCAGTTTTCATCAGGGTTTTGCCTTATTTAGTATTCTTATTGGATGTGGACTTGTTTTATTTAGTTATTTGTAATGATCAAGTTTGAACATCTTTTTACTTTTAGTCTTATTTTTTTCAAAAGTCATGCAAAAAAATGTATTCTTTATTTTCTCATCTGTTTCCATACACAGTAACATTTCATGAGCAAAATTAAAGTGATGCAATAACATTTAATGTGCAATAATATCCATGGTCCTAAACCACTCAAGTTTGCACCTAATGCCACTATTTCTCTTAATACTTTATGTTTTTTAAACTCTTACCTACCTATTTATATAGATTTATATATAACTATTGTGTATGTGTGTGTGTGTGTGTGTGTGTGTGTGTGTGTGTGTGTGTGTGTGTGTGCCTGATTGCATGTGGGAATGTAATGAATGTTATTCTTTTGTTATTAGAGCAGCACAGCAGATATCTTTGTACAATGTGTAATGATGATAAAGTCATTCTATTCTATGATCTTCTATATGAAGCATTTTGGGATGTGTGTATTATATGAAATATGTTTTATATAGAGAGTTGGATTAAGAAAAGAGAACAGACATGTTTTAATTCAACAGAGACTGCTGAATATTTCACAGATTAGATCCTGCTGCTGCAGTTATTTCAACTTAAAATAGACCCTTGACAAACTCTGCACATTTTTTTGCAGGAGTAAAGTCTCTGCCAACTTTGGCACTGCTCGGGAGTAGGAGTGACTCTCTTCAAGTTGGCGTGAGGTTGACACCACTCCTCTCCCTGTACAGAGCTCGCTTTGTGCCCCACACACAGTTCCTTTCACCGACAGAGCCTAAACGCTCGCTCTCTTCTCACAGGAGCAGGCGAGCTTTAAAAGTCTGCACAACAGACGGACAAAAAAAAAGTGTCAAAGGGCCAATCAGATAAAACTAAGCTAGTCTTTAGCCTATAAATAGTTCCTAATTGGAAAAGAAAGCAGCCATTATGGATCCAGTTCCTCAGACCAGAGCTCATTACTGTCGGGTCAGGACACAAACCCTCGGCGTGACAAATGTGACTCAAAGACGGCGCAGAAAATACAGGCAGGGATCGAGCTCAGGAATGAAGCAAACGAGGAGACATTAAAAAAAAGAGGAGGCTGAAAAAAAAAAAAAAAAAAAAAAAAGGCAGCGATGTGGTGAGACAGAAAGAGACACAGGCCGCTCCGTGGAGGCCCTTGTGGCACGGCTTCCCAGAATGCTCTCTGATAGCAGGCGGTTAATGACAGGCAGCCGTGGCCACAGTGAGAGTGAGAGAGCGGGAGCAGCCCTACGAACTGGGGCGCCCCTCTCATTAGGGCGTCCACGCAGGCCGCACAGCCGGCCCCGCCCGCCCACTACGGGGGGTGCTGCTGCACTCCCATTCCATCAATCCTGGGTGCTGGATTCTTTTTCTGAACCATCCCGGTGATTGATAAGTTCCATACAGATGAAGACAAGTGAGAACATCTAAACAGAAAAACCACACTCAGCAGGGAGTCGAGTCATCCCTAAAGAGACACAGAGGCCTGGGAGTTGCACGCAGCCCTGTGGGATGCCAGAATATGAGCACAGTCATGTTTTGTGTGTGTTCAGTGTGTGTGACAGGACATCAATGTGCAAACCGAGCAGCACAGCAGCGCCACAGTAGTGGGTTTTTTTTTTGTTCCAGACCGCCAGGCAGTCTGAAGTTATGTCGTGTTAATCAGAGCCAGGTGTACAGACACACAAGTCCTGTTCCAAGTCCTCATAAAACCCCATTCCTGATTTCCTTCCTTCCTTCCTTCCTTTCTTGTGATATGAATCTTCAATCTTTGAATGTTTTGGAAAATGTACGGTGACTTGTTTTGATCTGAATCTCTCAGATAATCTCTATTCTTAGTTTCATTTAGCTCTTCAGGATTTAATTTTATTAAATAAAACATGACACTGCTCTCGGAAGTATTTGCTCTGTAAACACTACAGATTATAATCAGCCGGTAAATACTTTTTAGAATAATACTACTTCTCTACTGAACTTACTTTTAACTCTCATATCGTACTTGTGTTACCATTTTATTTAAAGCACTGTTATTTTGCAATTAACCCTCACTCACTTTATATTTTATAAAATCCTTTATTTGTCTAATTTCAAATATATTTGATGCTTTTTTGTGTTGTATTGCAATCTTGAAGAAATCAAGAAAAGGATAAAAAATGATCTATTTCTTTCATGTTGTATGGTATTATATTTTATATTGTTTGTGATCATCTTAATCTATTGCAAACACATTTCTGACACTAGTCGTTTTATTTTGTTGAATGGAAAAGCTGTTTCGCTGCTATACTACATTTAACACGACTAACTTCTATTTTTGGACACTCTCATTAAAAGTGTGTTTACCGCTCTTATGGGGGAGCAGAGCTACAGTTACATGGCATGGTTAACCCGTTGAATAATGCGCGGCCATTTCTGCTTTTATCTTGCACATAAAAAAATGTAGTAACATGCACACTGTTCGGCCACTTCAAAGTGTTCACAAAACACTAATATTCCGTTGTGCATGATATGCTCGCAGTGTAACAGTTTATGCTCAATTCTCTCAGTTCTTCCCTCATGGGAGTTCTGAGGTTTATTTCACTCAGTTGTATCCTCATGCAGCTGATTTTCCTGCAGGTTTGTGCATCATGAGCTCCCCTGCTCTGCCCAGCATCCAGTCTTATAACATGTGATATTAGAGGGGGAGCATATGGAGAGCATGTGTACTGTTTATGGATGCTTTCTGGCTTTAAGGAGATGAAGATCTTCTATGAGCTAATGCTGAAAAGAAACAGATCTGCAGTGCAATGAGCTGCAGGTGATAAGAAGTAATGAGGCACAACAAGCCAAACATGACTAGAAATAGAAAAATCTGGATCTGCAGAGACGTTATTTAAAATTAAATTAGAGTCAGAAACATGCTTACTCTCTCTGATGTTGTCAAAGGTCCACTGGTTGTTCTTGAAGAAAGGGTGACTTTTAATTTCATCCACTCCTGTGCGGCCCAGGCGAACTTTCCTGCACACACAAGACCAGGACCCAGACTGTGAGCAAAACCTGAACACAAAACACACCCCGCTCCTCCCCCTCCACCCACCATTATCGTCATCAACACACAGCCCAGTGACCAGTGACCACACTGACCAGCATGGAAAGCCTCATGACCGCTGGTGAGGGATGTAATACAGATCCAGGCAGAGAGAAGGAGTCGGACAGAAGCTTAACCTGCTGCTTCTACCTTCTTCTTTAAACTCTTAACACACTCTTCCTCTCTGCTGGGTACTGGGCTGAAGGGGTGCGGCACTTTGGGCTTGCCACGTGTGGGACATTCCAAACCCAGCCAAGAGGAAGAGGAGAGGGCAGGGGCGGGGAGGAAGACAAACGAGGGAAGGGAGAGTTTTTAAACCCCCGCAAATAAGGAAAAAAAAAAACTGACATGCAGCCAAGGAGCCATGTTTCAATGAATGGAAAACAGCAGGAGCGTAAAGGAGAAAGTAACGGCAGAAAAAGAATGATGTTGGAGTAGAAAGTGGCACTAAGATGAGGAGGAGGAATGTTAGAAAAGGATGACAAACACATGGAAAAGGAGGGAAGATGTAAAAAAAAAAAACAGAAATCCCAAAAGGAGAGAGGATGGTGGTTCTTACAGGAATGATTCAGCGGGACAGGCCAACAGTGACAGAGCTTGTGGGTTAGGTAGTGAATGTTTGTGTGTTTCAGGCTGTGCAGCCGTGCATATGTGAGAATCAGTCAGTCAGTCAGTGGGTGGGGCGGGGGGGGGGTAGTGAGTGAGAAGGTAAATAATGGGACAAATGAAAGGCTGCTCTGTACGGGGAGCAGAAAGGGCCTGTGTCTGAGCCATCAGGGGGGCGGGGTTACTAATGTAAACAGGAAGTGGTTTCTTCCAGGGGGACGGGCTACTAACCAAGTGCATGACCCACGCCCACACATTACTGCATCATTTACCTGTAGTCATAATAAAATGCGATGACACATTTAAAGGAACCTATTCAAAAACGACAAGGATGATGTAGCCTTATTTCACACTCAGGTTGAAGTCACTGAAAGCAAAATAGTTCAGGACAGAATTTGAGTTTCAGAAAAGCATGAATCTGGTTATATTATTTTTGGTATCTGTCGAGAACGACACAAAAAGATCAGAATATCCAATGAATTGATACTACCTTCAAGTTTTGCCTATCTAACCAAAGCTTTATATTAGAGATTTCTTGGCCTCCATTCTGCTCCAGTGACATCCAAAAATATTGAAAATAAATCAGAACATCACCTGTAACAATACAGGGGTGAAAATAGACACGTCAATGTTCCTGCTGCTGGAGAAAATAATTTTAATGTTTAGCTGTTTCAATTAAAACCTTTACTCTTAACTGAAACATGTTTTTGTAACCCCTTTTGAAAGAGATATTAATAATTTGCGACATTAACCAATTTGCGTTTTGGTGACAGTGAAAATATATCATAGGGTGTGACTTGTCTTCAGATGTTTGGGTGGCTTTTTCTTGAATTAAAACAACAAAGTGGAGTAAACCTTCCCTCTAGAACCCAATATTTTTTGTCAGCAAACATGTCTGGAATCTAGGTGGTTGTTAACATATAAGATCACATATTATGCAAAATATGTTTCAGCATGGCTTTCTAACACTAATATGTGTCCCTGTAGTCTGTCTACAAACCCCCCCCCCAATTATAAGAAAGTCCACCCTCTGCATCTTTTACCTGCTCCACTTTTCAGAAAATGTGTGCTCAAACAGGCCGTTTGGAGATTTTCCTTTTGTGACATCACAAAGGACAGTAACCCCTCCCCCAGGTAGGTAACACTCCCAGAGCTAGGAGTTTGTTCTGCCCTCTAAATCTGCCTTCTCATTGTAAACAATCGGGCATGGCGCGAGAAAGCCCATCCAGAGAGGGGCGTGTTCAGACACAGCTCATTTGCATTTAAAGCTACAGACACACAAACAGCCTGTTCTGAGTGTGGCTGAAATAGAGGGGTTATAGGCATGATCAAATACAGGATCAGAGCGGATTTTTGGCGAGAAACTACACAGACATGTTTTGGGGTGCTCTGAGACTTATTTACACTTTCTGAAAAGGAGTACTGTAAGTTACCTTTAAAATGATTTGATGATTGTACAGGAGAACACCTGTGCTTTAAACCTGACTTTAGAGGATTTTCGCTCAGTACTCAGACAGTTGCTCTTAAAAAGGAATCAATAGTGCAGTGTGAATTTGGACATAAGCTTTGTATAGACAGAGTTTCATGATCAATCACACACTTAAACATGATGTATCTACATTCAACATGTATCCTCATGAAGTCTGTCTTTGATTACTTTTTATTTTTACCAGAATGTTCTCTGATCCAGAGGAGCCAAAGAGAAATCGAAGCATGTGTACGCATCTGTCTGAACATGACAGGCAGCCTGACGTTGTAAATTATTCAGACTTTTTTTTGTCAAAGCACAACCGTGTGATGAAATGATTTCCATGTGCTAACCTGTCAGTGAGAAAGGCACAGATGAGGTCTTTGGCATTCTGAGACATCTCCACATCATCGGGGAAGACCAGCATGTTCTTGTGGTTCATGATCTTCCCGTAAGTTCCAACCAGGGACTCTGCGTAGAAAGGAGTCTCACCTTGGGAAGAATTTTTAAATTGTTTTTCAGTAAAAGAGATTTTCACAATTTTAACAGCCACTAAAATCAACGTGATGTCTCCGTTTTCATGATTTTGCGAATCCCTCATTGATAACAACTTCCCTCCAAATAAGATATCAGATAATATATGTGTTACATCAAATCCTGTTTTACATGTGACTAAAATAAAAACGTGTTTTTTTGTACATGTTGGGCCACTTACCGACAAACAACTCGAAGATAAAGACTCCAACAGACCACCAGTCGCACTCTCTGCCGTAGATACCGTTACCACCCTGAGACTGCAGCACCTCAGGGGAGATGTAGTCCGGTGTGCCTACAGCTGTGTCACAGTGCACCATACCCGTCTGCAAACACAAAAACACACAAGATTTACCACACAGAGAGCGAGAGAGAGAGAGAGAGAGAGAGAGAGAGAGAGAGGGGAAAAGAAAGCAAGTGTCAGGTTGGTAGACTTTAGAGCTGAAACAGTATGTCAATCAATGAGACAATCAAAAGAAACTTCATGGCCAATGTTTTGACAATCTGAATTTTCAAGTCGTTTTTTTCAACAAACATTTACGATATTTAACAAGGCGTCTTTAAGGTTTTTGACATCTCATTGGACAAAAAAAAGGCTGTTTGAAGACATCCTCTGGAGTCTAGTGCAAAAGAAAAGATCAGCTACATCTTTTGTGGAATTGGAAAGGAAATAAATAAATGAGCCATATTTGAAATAACATATATTACATTCTATGGAGCCTTAGGGAACATTTCTGTTTACCTCAAAAAAAAGAAGGAAAATAGCACTTTTTAAAGTGACCACTGAATAAAACAAATGACAAAACAGACTGCTCATTAGGTGGCTCAGTTGGCAGAGTCGTCGTCTCTCAAACGGAAGGTCGGGGGTTTGATCCCCAGCTCCTGCAGCAACGTGTCTGATGTGTCCTTGGGCATATGTACTTGTACGAATGAGATTAACTACCTATGATGGTCACTTTACAGAGCAACCTCTGTGTGTGAATGGGTAGTTGTGACCTGCAGTGTTAAAGTGCTTTGAGTAGTCAGAAGATTAGAAAAGTACTTAAAAAGCTCAAGTCCATTTACCATTTACTGGAATAACCTTCCTTTGTGATCTATTGTATTTTATATTGATTATTATCTCTTACTCCAGAGATTCTGAGAAGACACCCAGGAGAAGGTCTGTCGTCACTCATTCAGGCACAGGGAGTTTATTTAGAGCAGAGTTAAATCAGTGTGTTGACTGATGTTTTAAAGACACTCTTGTAAACTGTGAGATTTTCCAGGAGCCTAAATGTGTGGACCCACTTGTAAACCGGCTATTTAGAAATTGCTGTTGGGAAAAACAAAAGAAAGAAAAACACAAAGAGGCGGCTCCGCCGCTCTACTCTTGATTGGTTGTTTAGCACAACAACTTGTGAGGACTTTCAAAAACAACCTGATGCAAGAGGGCTGCTCTGAGCTTTAATTCTCAATCAGAACACTAGGTGGTGCCACAGGTCTCTGATAAAGCCACTCATCCTCTCACAGCAAAAACAATGTTCTTTCTTTTTCTTTTTTGATTCAGGAATTGTGTTTTCTTCAAACAAGAGACTGAAATTCGTCCAGGGGCGAAAAAGAAAGTTACAACTTCAGACCTACCGAGTCCATCTTCATGCAGGTGCCGAAATCTGCCAGCTTCAGGTGTCCGTTTTGGTCCAGCAGCATGTTGTCAGGTTTGATGTCACGGTGGATGAAGCCCATGGAGTGGATGGCGTCCAGCGCCAGCACGACCTCAGCCGTGTAGAAGCGAGCCCACTTCTCAGGTATGTCGTAGTTCATGGTGAGCGTCACCAGGTCGCCCCCCGGCATGTACTCCATCACCATGTAGAGGTGGCGGTCATCTTGGAAAGCACAGCACAGCTAGGAGACAACAAACTCAGTCACTCTATCTCCTTACACACACCACGCAGTATTCTAAGCTGCTTTTGTGTAGGATTTAGAAAAAGTGTGGGTGTTTAAATTCTAGATAATCTGGATATATTAAACTACAGACTTCCAGTCATATATGATTATCTCCATGACACCAGATGAATACGGAAAGGAACACGAGGCAGAGCTTGTATTAAAAACATCAAAATAAATGCTGTCTCATTAGATTACATTTCATCTTTCATTTTGCATTTCAGTGAAGTGAGAGTTCTTAAAGGCTGTGGTTCATCATACTCATTGTAGATGTCATCATTACAGGGGATTTCTAAAGAGCTTTTCTCATTTACACACTTTCATTATTCACCTGCCTACTGTTTGTACTTCAAATAAAGACAGATTTATTCCACTACATATACTTTTTATGCTCCTGTCTGTAGTATTATCACGTTCATTGTTTTGTACTCTGGATTGTCACTGTCTCTACCTCATTATTGTAATGTTCATTCTGTATATTACTCATCGATTTGGAGATCTTATCGCACTATAGAATATAAACTTTGTTTTTGTTACACTGGTACTTTCTGCTTGCATTGATTTCTAAGAAGAGTCGATCTGACACTGAAGTATTGGCAAAGCCTCCTACGCCTAAATGCTGTTTCAGTTTCAGCATGTGAGGAAGTATTTGCACCAATCCAGTGCCATGATTTAGTAGACTTGAAAATAAATCTACATCTTGGATTAGGAATAAATTATCTTCTCTGGTGTACCATGCAACCACCGTCTACTGTTGTAGAGCTTTACCATTCAAGGTTATTTAAAGGGCTGTCAAATGATGTGCATTTGTAATTGTCATTCATCGAAAAAATGTCAATCGTTAATTGCAAAAATCACATTTTTAATCGCATGTTTGAAATTCCAATATTTTGCATGCGTAGTTGAGGGAAGTGGGGTCGGACAGAGACTTTGCTTTTTTTCTTTCATGTTTCAATGTTCAACCCTCTATCTTATTTTGTTACATAAAAACATCAAACCATGTTTGTGTTCGCACCTGGACAACCCAGGGACTGTTGGAGAAGGCCATGATGTGTCTCTCCTCCCAGAAGAAGGCCGAGTCTGACCGCTTGATCATCTCAAACTTGTTGAGCTGCTTCATGGCGTAAACCTTCTGGGAGGCCTTGTGACGGACCTGCATGGGAAGGAAAACACACACACACACACACACACACACACACACACACACACACACACAAAAAAACAAAAAAGAGGAGACATCCGCTTGTAAACATTGATAACTGTGCAAGGACAGTGAAAAACAAGACCGTGTCACAATGACATAGATAAGAAACAGAAGGAAAGCGATAGGGAGCGGGGAGCCCATAATCACAGGCACACCCATAGAAAGGCATGCTTACACAAGATTTAAGCACAAACGCAGCAAGCATCCCCTCTCCCCCACACCCACACCCACACCCACACCCCCACAGCAGACTTCACACTCCTCTCCTACACGCTGAGCCTGTCCAGACTTGTTTTTAACACAAGACGTTCAGCAGAGATCAGCTTCAGGCTACATGCAGCACCAGAGACACATCTGGGGAAAATGGTTGTTTAGAGGGAACCACTGCTCTCTCTAATGTCTTCTTTTTTTTTCTTTTTTTTTTAACTCAAAGTCATTTTAATGATTTGGAATAAGAAGCTTACAGATTTGGAATATCTAAAAGATTGCTGCGCCCTCTACTGGTTCATATTTGGGGTGTTTTGGTGCAACTTTCTGATTTCAGAGGCATTTCTGAGAACCTCTCTTGCTCATGCTCTCTCTATACCGTATTGCCATGAGGCAGCATGGATTTTAAAAATGTAAAAATAAGACATTAAATAACAACACACTGATTCATTCATTCGACTCTGCACAAAAAAAAAAAAAAAAAATCATCTCACCAGCTGCACTTCTCCGTACGCTCCTCTCCCGATCAACTTCACTCTTTCGAAGTCGTCGAGCTTCACCTGCAGCTCCCGCAGCTGACTCACCGCCTTTTCATCTGCAGGGACGGACGTATACAACGTGTTACCATGGAAACAGACATTCGGGTTCGAAGGAATGGGTCAGTTTTTTTTTTTTTTAATCCGCAGGACCAGAGAGAGGTCAGCAAGAGGTTATTTAAAGAGTTATTTATTTTGAAACCACTCAAATAGAATTTATAAGAGACAGAAGATTGAACATTTAGACATGAGATGGTGCGTTGTTTTTTCTTCTCACACGTAAGACACAGTTATAAGCAACAGGTTAGAGGATCAGGCTGCTTTCAATCTAGTTAAGGCTGCACTAAAGTGACTCATCTAACTGTTTTTTGCTACTTTGTCTGCAAAAACTGTCAGGACCAAATATAACTGACACTCAGACTGCAGAGGCGTTTATTGACATAATTCGTATCTCTTCTGTGACCTTGTGCAGAATAACATCTGTACACATTACTCTGTCTCTACAATGAGGCACATAGTAAGTGGACTATGTCTTACAATATCTGTGAAGTCGTGAAGGAACATCTTCACCATGAGGTTGGTGCTTCAAACTATCTTAAGGCATCTTTACAAGCTAAGCACAAGACTCTTGACCTTTCACCGAACACACTGTAGCTCTTACATCGGCTCAGAAAGGCCTCGATGCTTTTGTTTTTCCTCAGGGCAGGATAGTTCAAGTCATGAGCCAATGCAGTCATGGAATCCTGAAAGACAGAAAAGACATAGAAAAAATGCATTCAACATTTTGAAACAAAAAGAAGTCACCAAAAAAGTACAGAGAAGTAACTTCCATGTTTCCCCTGTTGCACTGGATTGAGCTGATCTGAAGTTTCATTTATGTTCGGAAAGATATTTTCATGAGCCTCTCATTAATCTGTCAGGACAAGACTTGTAAGTTTGGCAACCCCGACCTTCTGCTGGCTGATAGAAGACAGCAAAACTGAATGACTGGAGGAAACAAGGAAGGAAACAAGGAAGGAAGGAAGGAGGGAAGGAAGGAAGGAAGGAAAGAATAACATTTCTGTGTTCACTGAAAATGGGCCTGCTAATGTGCAGCCTAAAAAAAGAGTGGCAGGAGGACAATGGAGGTTGGAAGAAGACATAACAAGTAATACAAGAACACAATCTAGTAGTCACATGATGCTTCACAAACACACAGACTGTCACCAAGGCCCACCAACAAACACAGACCCCCCCATGGCTTAACAGAGGGGAGGGGGAAGGCGAGGCAGCATCAGACCAAAAGCCGAGGTCTCAGTAGTGTCATCAGCGCTTAAATCAGCGGTGTCAAGTTTCACATTGGAACCAAAATGTCCCGGTGATCCAAACTCATGAGGCTGGTGGGCCAGTTGGGCAATTGGGCAGGTGGGTGAGGGGGGGTGCAGTAGGACCCTCTGTTCCCCCAAACAAGGGTCAAGTGGAGTCATTTAGTGTGTGTGTGTGTGTGTGTGTGTGGTGAGGGAGTTTGGGGTGGGGCTGAGTCGAGTCTTTAAACTCTGTTTGTTCGGGGACATGTGAGTGGGTGGGCACAGGCATGTGGAACAATTCTGCACCTTTAAATAGCAGTGGCGTGGAGAGATCCCCCCCCCCCCCCCCGCCCCATCACCACCCACCGCCACCCACCGCCACCCTACTCTTCACCGCAGACGGGTGGAAATAGACCTGAAGGCTCAGAAGCTATTGTGGGACAAACAGCTTATGGGTCTGGATTCAGGCTGAGTGCTCGAGGATCTATGATCATTTTACACTGTGTGTGTGTGTGTGTGTGTGTGTGTGTGTGTGTGTGTGTGTGTGTGTGTGTGTGTGTGTGTGTGTGTTGTAGCAGCTAAGGTTACTTCAGTAGAAGGAACTTTGCCTTCAACAGTGCGGCAGCCATATTGAACTCTACTGCCTTTAAATGACATACAGAATTTATAAATAGACATTAAATAAACTGAAGCAGATTTAAATGAGACATTTGGTCCATGAGTTGTCAGCGAGAATTAGGACATTAAACTCTTTGCACTTTTCTCTCAAACTGGTTCGATTTTTCACTCCTTGCGTGGAATCTGAGCATATCTGAAGGTGACGGTCCTGCAGTTGAAGACAATTGCGCTTGTTATGTATGTGTGTTTCTTCACCACCTCACACAACACCTCCCACCCACTCCTCTGTGTGCTGATACTGCCTGAGTACAGTCAACAACAATAGGAGAGGATCTCCCGACTGTGTGGAATGTAAAACTTGTCCAGTCTCCTGAGAAATGGAAGACGCATGCCCTCCCTGATACAAATTATGCTCTGCATTGAAACGTCCTGATTTAGGTTCGTTCATTTTTCTTCAAGCAAAATGTGGTCAATATAACTTTTAACAAACTGAAACCATCGCATACCTCAAAACATGCTGTATCTCCATCTAAGCTATAGCTTTAGAATCTCTGCATATTTGGATATTTACAATGTTAGAGAGACATAGAAACAGGAAGTGTCTTTGCCTTGTGCATTTTCCTTTTCATCTACTCGTAAAGCTTCTATCCCAGCTGAAGGCTTCTGCTGAGAACACAGCTAGTGAGAACATTGTTACTGGCACTTCCAGTGAATTTGTTATGAGTAATCACTGAATATGCTGATAGGGGGGGATAATAATGTAGACTATTTTAAAACAATAGCTGTGTCTGTAATCTCTGCATTATGCTCTGTTGCCTCATTGAAAGAAGGCTCTGGATAAGAAGAACCCAACAGCCAGCTGCAGTGTTTCTGTATGCAGGTTCTCCCCTAGTCTGTGTGGGTTTCCTCTGTAATACAGTCTAAAGAAAAAAGGTAAATGTAAAGGTGACTTACAGGCAATCTGTAAAAGAATGAATACGGTGATTCTACATACGCCTCTTATTGTTGGTATTCTCTAACCCCGGACCCATATGGGATTTTTTGGGGGCAAATACCGATACCCATATTAGGGAGAAATACAATTCAGATGCCGATATTTTAGCCGATATCTTTCTTAGATCTATCTCTGATCTTTAGAGAGTGATTGAAACAGATATAAACACACATTCATTGTGTTGCTCCCTCACATGCAGTCATCAAACATTTGAAAAATAATAATATAAATACATAATAATGTAAAATAATGTTTTTTTTGTTTGTTTTTTTACAGTTGAACAAAAGCCTTTATTAGCCAGAATAACACCAGTGCACTGAAACACAAATTTGACTTAGAAATGAACATTAATAAACAAAAATGACGTCAAAAAATAAATAATAAACTGAAATTGAATAAACCTAGTTATATCGTCACATAACATAACGGAAATAAAATGAGCTGATACCAATAGTCACGTGATATGCTAATATCGGCCAATATTATCAGCTGGCCGATTAATTGGTCGGGATCTGGTATCCTCTAATATATTTATAATTTAGAATTGATCGAGCTAGAATTCCAGATTGGCTGACAGGACTCTGTTTACAGTAAAGTGACGCCATCATAAACAACTAGATTATTAGTTCTTTTGATGTGTTTTGCGTGATTGTCTGGTTTTGTTTAAAGCCTCAAAAGTCTCTGAAACAATGAGACATTCCCATAACAAGAGCAGTAAATCCTCATGTTCTGTTTAGGAGAAAAGATATGTAGTGGTACTTGAAAACGTGAAATAAACTGTCAATATTGATCAGTTATTAGTTTTCTTATTAAGTGTCGTAACAGTGCAACATACAAAACAAATATATCAACGTGCTAAAATTCATCATCTACCCAATTCATGGAATAACATCAAACACCAAATGTAAAAAGATAGAAGGAGAAAAGAGAACATCCTGAAAAAAGTATAACTCGGAATAAAATCCTTTGATATACTTATTTTAAAAAACGCTATAAAACGCCTGCATTTCCCAACTGGGGATCAATAAAGTATAATCTAATCTAAAAAACATTTTGTGTGCAACAAAAGTGATTTTGGACAAACAGGAAATAGTGATGTGAGGTCACTGCAGGTTACCTCCAACTCAATTCCAGGAAGTGACTGTAGCTTCCTGTGTGGCAGTTCCCTGCATGAGGCAACACGCTGGCCATTGTTGAGTCCACTACCTCGCAGCTCAGAAGTCGACACTTATGACTGGACGGGCAGTCACAGTCAGCTTCAACTGATCCATCTCACTTTGCTGTTCGATTACAACATTATGTAACACAGGTTAGGTTTGATCTGTAAAAGCTATAGGAGCAGTGGCTTTAGCTGTGGATTATCAGCACTAAGAATAAATACAGAATAAAACGGGAGTGAGGGTTCAGGGTTGTATTGAAACCTGACTCTCCCTTAACTGCGTCATCAATTCATTAGATTATTTTTTTGATACATTAAAATGTCTCGTCTATCCGTCCGATTATCATTTTGACCCCATGATCTCTTACAATGTGTCATCTGTTCATCATGGCGGTGGGGCGGCTGTGGCCCAGTCTTAGATTTGGTAGTCTCTCACTTGGAAGGTTGGGGGGTTCAATCTCCAGCTCGAATAGTCCTTGGGCAAGACACTGAACCGGCTGCTGCGTCAGCGGGGCGTGAATGTGTTGGGATTAGTTAATACTGAAGGACTCTTGACATAGCAGCGTCTGCCGTCAGGGTGTCAATGTGTGAACGTGACATTCGGTGCAAGAATCACCTCGAGTAGTCGGAAGACTAGAAACGCGCTACAAAGCTCACCTCCTTTTGTCAGGTGATCCCTTAGTGTGGACTCATCTTCACAGGTTACCATTTTGACCCCCATTGAGATCCCGAAGCAAGACAAATCTATTCATCAGGTTATCAGTAGAGATGGGACGGATCCGATCTTATCGCGTCCAATACAGACGTAATTTAAGCATCCGATGTCACACTGACGGCGCCAATCCACCTGGACTGATCAGGAAAGACGGTTGGGAACTTTGAATGTTCTAAACTCGCGCAGTCTTACTTTGAAGACATTCAGACTGAACTGTAAGAAGTGCCCACAAATCATCTCCATGACGATGTTCAGACGAGATGGAACAGCTCCAAAAAGAACTATTCTTACACTTCAGTTTGAATTAAGATTTCATTTGAAAACCTGACTGCTTCCTGTTTGTATGTGCAGCCGGAACGATGCAATGCAATCCCTTTGCATGAACCATGTATACATCTGGCTATTTTTTTGACCCATTTATGATCCCTAAGCACAACTCATCAGGTTATCATCACTACCCAATTATAATCCCTTAGCACCCCTTTTATTAATGTGGTCATCATTTTGGTCTTGACCCCTAAGCATTCCTCAAAAGGTTATTATTTATTATTTAATGATGGCATCTATTTGACCCAGTTATAATCCTTCATAATGTAAGAATGACATATTTATCAGTCAGGTTATCATGCAACCCCATTATGACCTAACATTTAACCACTGTTAATGATGTTGTGTTCTTATCAATCGACAACTGAGAGCAGCAAAGTGATTAATTCATTTGCTGGGTGAAAGTGTGACCATGTAGAGACGCATGTGAAACCTCTGATCTAAACATTCCCTGAGGTATCCCTGGATTGTCTGATTTTATTGTATTTTTTGTGTTTGTGCATTAACTAAGCGTACAAACAAATCTGTTCTACAAAATGAAGTTCTATGTCTGTGTGGCCATGGTGTGAGACCCTATCCAGAACAAAAAGCTGTGTCATATCAGCTCAGAAATGTGTGTCTGTTGTCAGCGGTTGGGACAGAGAGGCTTAGCATTGGCAGAAGTTTTATCAAAGTGGACGGAGTACATTCTTAGGACAGGTCAGAAAGAGGCCAAGTTAATTAGATTAGAGGCTTCTGCAGAGAGTCAAACGTGATGAAGGGGCAAGAAAAGATAAAAGAATCATCAACTCATTTAAGAAGGAAGCACTGGAAAGTTTTGTTTTTTAAGTCCAATACTGATTGGATTATTTAAATGTCCTTTTTAAATACATGTTACCTTTCAGATTATACACACTACAATTTCCATGATGTGGTTTCAAAATGAAATACATTGACTAAATCACAGGGACAGATGGTTACCGTGGGTTAAAGGTGGGGGAACTTTTGTTTAATCGTTTACTCACACACTGACAGAATCATGTGTTTGTTTTTCTCGTTCTTTTGATCGTTGAATGGGATTTGATTTAAGGGCTGAGACAGACAGAGATGAATATTGAGGTGAACTGTGGTCATGACAGATTCATAACTTTGTCCAACTCATATCAGAGTCTACGCTGTGGAATCAACATACCTGCACCAGAGGCAAGAGTCAGAAACGCAAACTCACCAGCAGTGTTTCAAAGTTGAGAGGTGACTGTGGAGTCTTCATCAGGGACTCCAGCTTCTTCAGCCGGCTCTCCAGCCTGCTCTCCGCTCCAAGCATGATTACGGTCCAGTGTGTCCAGGTCCAATGTCATTCAAAATCAAATATACAAAAAAAAAAAAAAAAAAAAAACACCTGTCGGCTTGTTTCCTTGTCTCGGCGCACAGGCGGGAGGTAGTCTCACTCCTCAGCTCCTCATGTCAGGTCTGCTGCAAACTGCGGTGTGAGTTGTCAGGTTAATTATTTATCCGCTGACCAAGTGTTCTGTCTCACTCCTTTTTTATTATTCAATGTCTCAAAGGAAAGTGAAACCGAGCGGGCGGGTTTAGTGCCGAGGAAAAGGAGCGCTTCACTTTCAGGTGAGTCTCGTCTACTCCCAGGTAGCTTCAACAAAATCTGATCCGACCACAACGTGCCCAACCTGTAGGACGTAACCCAGCCAAGTTAGACCAGGAGGCAGTCGTATGACTTCCGGTATAAAAAAAAAACTGTCAAAGTAAAAGTAGCAAACTCTTTGATCCAAAAATACAAAGAAGCCTAAAATGACTTGCCATTGTAGCCTTTACCATGTAGGCTAATATAGATATAAACCAAATAAAGACGCAGCAATTTTGAAAGTCAAGGCCGGTACTGATGTTGAGGTTTAAAATAACAGTTTTACAGATTCAGATTATTTTTCAAACAACTGTGAAATTCTTCGTGTCTGTTTTTTTAAATTGTGAATTGTAAATGTGATTGGACATGAAATAGGCCTATATAGCTTACAGTATAGGCTATGTCTTGAAATGTCACTGATCTCTCTCAGAGAATGTGTAAGGGCGGCAGTAGCTCAGCTCAGTTCCCTTGGGTTGGGAATTGGAGGGTCGCCGGTTCAAGTCCCGGCACAGACCAAGTCCGGAAATTGGCCTGGTAGCTGGTCGCCAGTCCACTTCCTGAGCACTGCCGAGGTGCCCTTGAGCAAGGCACCCAACCCCCCCACCAGCTCAGGAGCGCCCACTGTGGGCAGCCCCCTCACTCTGAGACCCCTCCATTAGTGCATGTCCATAGGATCCTGTTTGTGCATGTGTGTGTGTATTTCAGCCTATGTTTGTGTAGCATGTTAACTAGACAGAGTGTAAAAACAAAGTTCCCCTCATGGGATCAATAAAGTATGAATTAAAAATTAAGACTCCCACAGACTCAACATCAGAGTTTATCCAACAGGCGACTTCTTCTGCCTAATCAGAAATCCTGTTTTCTAAATCAGAAGTTTGGTATAGGCTACTTGCCGGCATTAAATTGATGGAACACAGACATGTCCCACAACACGCAGATGGTCCAGTGTTTGTCCACAGGGCTGATATCGATAACCGATGTTCAGCCGATACATCGTTGCATCCCTGCTAACAAATATGTAAATAAATAGGCAAAAATAGTGACTTATCAAACATGTATCACGAAAGGACCTTCAGTATGAAGACATTTCAGAAACATGTATTAGACGATTTTCTAATGCAGGATAGCAACCCTTTTAAAAACAAAGGAAGACATGTATTTCATGTTAGAAGTAAGGTGAGTAAGAAATCATGTAAATAGAAATAGAATAATGAAAACATTTCAAAATGAATAGATGGAAATACATAATTGATCATTTGAATCATTTTTAAAATGGTAAATATGGGGCAGGCCTATCATATTAAATGTTTTTTAAAAAAGCAAATATTAAATGTTTATAGTGAGAAATAAAGGTATATAGGCTAAAGTCATTACAAAAAGTAAAGTTCTCACAATAACATTTAACAAAGCAAAATTTAAATTTTATGGATGGAACTTAACGCTTTTATTTTGAAAGATGATTTTGACTTCCAGTATAAGCGTGTCTATTATAGGTGACTTGGTAAATATTAATCACATATTTGATCCATCTTCGTCTGTACAGTGACAAATGTTCTTTACAACACTCGCAGCTTCGGTGTTTAGTATATCTATAAAAAGTTGGCTGACTACGGGAGAACACCGCTCTTCAAAACTCCTCCAATGACTGCAGCAGGAAGCCCTCACCAGGCCGGAATTCCTGCCCTCTTATCTCATTCATCTGTTTTACCGTCACAGCTCAGGGCCTCGACCAACTTTCAGTATTTCAGGAATGTTGATGCGCTGCCTTGCAGACATGCAGCCACTAAAAATAGACATTAACAGGAACCGCAGTGAGTTAGCAGTCCTTATCTACAGCATCATGTCTGGATAATGAGGCTAATATATGGCTCACATTCAGAGTTAGAATGGTACAGGACAACAATATTTGGGGAAAAAATTAAAAGACAGACAAAGTAGCCTACTTTAAAATAATGAAAAATCTGTGAAAAAACACACAAGAGATTTGCTGCTCTTAGAATAACTTTTATTTATTTTACTTTACAAATAGGTATCCATCAAAGCTTTCGGATAATGAATCTATATTCAAAAACAAATAATTTGTGAACAATCTATTTAGACAGTGGGACACAAGTTTGACAGGGGAGGCCAGTAGGTAACAATGAATTTCAGGTGTTGACAGCAATAACAAAAAGATACTGGTTGTGTCCAAACATTGGATAAAAACACATTCAGTATCGGGTGTGAAATGGCAATGATTAAAATGTGCAATAAAACCAATGGCAGTCTTAAAGGTGTTCCCTTTGTTTTTGGCTTGCGGTGTCAGAGCAGAGGACCACTTGTTGATTCTGCAGCTATTTGCGTGAAGTGATGTGGTCACTGACTCATCGTACTGTTGACAAAGAGTCCCCTGGATGGTCGAGGATGACACTATAATGGCATGACATGTGGAGAAGATGAAGGCTGGAATGAGTCGGGGGGGGACTTGCTGTACACATATGGAGTGATGTTGTTTTGGAAGGATAGCAGAGGTGGGTCGTATTTGGAGTTATTCTAAGAGTAGACCAGGATGACTACTTATACCAGGGGACTTTTGAACTCCTAAAGAATAGGCTCTAAAGTGCAGCCATGGTTTTTTTGTATCTGACACTCCTGTATAAGAAGGCAAGGTAATTGGATGCAATGAGAGAACAATGGCAGCAAGGTGTGGAAAAAAAAAGCTATCTACTTGGCATTTAATATCAGTCAGGTGTCACTGAGTGCAGTGTCATGTTCTGTATAATCATATGGTTTTCAGCTGTCTTCCACTCGGCCTCTTGTTGCTTTCTAGTCAGGAAAGGGCAGGTGCAAAGTTACAAAGGCAAACACTGCTCTCTAGTGGGGATTCAGTATATAAACATAAAAACAAGGAGGGGGCATTTAAGGGCTTTAGCACGCACAAAAAAAAAAACAATCAGTGAAGAGAAAAATAAAGAAATATAGCACTTTTTTTGTGAAAATCTACAGATGCATAATCCATAAGTTAATAAAACATCAAATAATATCTGTGTAGAGTTCAACTAGAAAAAAACTGTAAATTTATAAATTGATAAGAGTGTTGACAAAACGTATAGGTGATCTATCTGGATCAAATCTCATGTATCCCCGATAGCAGGAACTGTAATACTGATCGCTGCATTCTACAGCATTTGACTGTTGAGTATAATACCACATTTGGTAATATTACAAGCCATTAAGAAAAACTGCCAAGTGCCATGAATCTTCTAGATTTCAAAGCAAACAAGCAGGGCACTTGGAGCTTAAGGTGATTCAAATTGAAAGCTTTGGCAGATCAGGTGAGGAAGGGTCTGGATACTGTACATTTATAGACCAGCGTCAACAGGACGATTTAAATGTTCCAAGACCATCTCAGCTACTGTAGATCAGTAGACCTCTCCCTGCATACTCTGTGTAGTTAAAACTTTGCTTTAGAGGATGCAGCAGAAGCATCCTTTCTCCTCAGTCGTCTGTCTGAACAGGCCAGCTAGGCTCTCTCCCCAGAGGGGAATAAAACGCCCGAGGATGAACTCCTAATCTCAGCAGACTTTCTCTCCTCCCTTGAAGGAAGTGAGAAGGGTAGGGAATTACAAGCAACCGGTTGTGAGGAATCAAACCTCAGAATTTGTATGTTGCTGTGTACCGTATTTAGATTGGGACATGAGGTTGGAGGGGAGAAGGGTATACCATTTTCCTGGCTGTCGCTCCAAAAAATAAAAAAAGCTCCTGAAGTCTGAGCCCCCGTCGGCCAGGTAACCCAAAACCTGGAGTGGGGAGTCAGCGTGGGATATGGGGAGAGGAACAATGTGGCTCTTTGTGCGAGGCGGGCAGAGAAAACAAACCGTTTCCCCTGGAAAGAGATCATGTTCAGGCTCCATCTGAGAAGACCACACAAGGCTGATCTAAGCCCTGTCTGCTGTGGATCGCAAGGAGAGGAGGAGGAGGAGTGCACACACACAAACAGACACACTTTAGGTCAATGTCAGACAGGGAGAAGATCTGAGATGCTCCATTTCAAGTGCTCACTGACCACAACATAACACAATAGCCAGAAGTACTCTTTGGTCCAAGACGAAATATGTGACTGTGTTGTTGTTCTTCCCCATCTTTGATTTGCAATATTTTGGCCATCTGGACTGCTTCCTGGATTAGCACCCTGCTGGTCTACAGGCAGAGCAACACTCTGGTGGGCTGACAGGCTGAGGAACTGGCTTGAGGGTGTTAGCACTGGCGTTGTCCACAAGAGGGCGTGGCACTGAGTCTGGCACCGCCATACAGTGTTAAACAGGGAGTCTGTTCATTAGGTGGAGAGAAGGGAGGAGGAAAAAGAAACAGCAGTGGTGAGATTTAAAAAATTCTTGGCCGATTCTCTTTCATTTACATATCTAGCATATTTTATATCTAACCCCTTCTCTGGACACTCATTCCTTAATCCGCCCTTTCTCCATAAACACTGAGAATGAGGCTTTTAGTCATGTCAACACTCTGATAACTGTCGCACAGGGCACAATCAAACCGTGAACATCTGGCCTCTTTCTCCCTCACACACGTACTTACACAGACTTTCATTCAAACACAAACACTCACATGTAAGGGCCAAACCAGGGTTTTGTACTCCCTCTGTCCCATTGCGTTTTAGTTTCAAACGCTCAGCGAATACCCATGTGGTGGGATCGGATTACACGGGGCTATAAAATATCCCAAATAAAGGCAGGGAAAATCGAGACGAGAAAAAAAAAAAAGAGCTGTTTCCTGAGGTGAAATCCTTCAGTTGGCTGCAGATTCTGTCAGAGTGGGAGATTGTTTAAAAAAAAAACTTTTAGCAGTGGAGACAATGGAACAGGTCAGCACTGCTGGGCTCAGAGGTGGCAAGCTAAAGTCATTCACATACAGCAGCCAGCTCCCATTACACACAACGCAGGGCTATAAATCCGTCTGCACGACACAAGCAGCATGCTGTGATTTCATATGTATTGGTTACTAAGGGGACCCATGAAACCACAACAAATGACAAAGAGTTAAGTAGGAACTCATTAAGTGAAAGGAGATCTTGTAACCTAAACACAAAACATCTGGGGTATAAGATAAAAGTTCATGTTGTGCTTTCTCTATCGTCATTCATAACATGATTATTAAGACGACCCATGGCCTTTGGAAAGGGTAATGGAGAGAAAAGCGAGCCAGATGAAATCCAAGCCATCTCTGTAATATCAGCGGATTTATCTCAGGGCATACAGTAAAATGGTAACATGATCTCATTATGGCGAGATACCAATGGGTGAGGACATCGGGTGGTGTTACAGCCATTTGGACGACCAATCAGGCAAGTGAAATCAATAGGGCCTTTGATTGGTCCAAAGTAAGGAGGATTTTCTGCAGCACTCTTAACAACAACATCTGGTTGGCAGTGGTCAGCGGTGGTGAGTGAAATGAAGGAAACGGTTTGAAAGAGGAGAGTAGCAGAGAGCTAAACTCACAGCAGAGAGACAAGCCAAGAGCCAGAACAGGGTGTCATTATGACATGTGTAATGGGAACACTCTAGTTTTGCACCTTAACCCCAGAGCTCTAACACAGCAGAGGGTTTGCTTGCATATCAAAGCGCCTTGTAGTCTGTCTGACAATCACTTCTGTCTCTCGATATCAAGCTCATGTCTGAACTGTCTTATCTGTCCATGCTGCAAATAAGCGTGTCACACTTGATCACCCAGCCTGGATCTGCCTGTCTGTCTGGGGTGTCAGGTTGGATAGACCACCTCAAGGTCATGGTTTTTATTCAGCAGTAGTTATCGGTCCTTGTCAAGACAATAAATCTCCCACCTTCTCATTCATCTCAAACTTTTTCAGAATAAGGCATCAGTTAACTGGTTAAAATGTGGAACTCTCTCAATCCCTGTTAAACAGACAAGGATTCACATCGTTCTGCAAAACGGCTGCCATGCAAACAAAGCATTGTGACTGTCAGGTAGTGGTGTGGTGATCGCCTTTCAAAGTCACTCTCACTGCCTGTGCCCTCCACCTTCTTTCCCTGTTGTAACCTTAGAGCCCCAAGGAGTGCCAGGTTACTGGGATTCTCTCTCTTTGGCGCCATGCTGTTTAGTGACCACGCGCATACTGTGAGACCTGTGATTAAGCTTGCCCTGTGTGTGTGTGTGTGTGTGTGAACGTGTGTATTTGCACATTTTCAAAACTCTAGCTTTTGAAATAACTAAACAAATCCAGAGTGCCACATGGCTGGGGTTTACCACAAATAATAATAAAATGGGTTTTGGAGAGCTAATGCCAGTAGAGTTACCAATCAACTTGGTCAATTCGTAACATAACAACCCCCTTTAATCTCAGACACATTGAGTTGTTGGTGACATGTTTTCTAGGTTAGAGTTACGAGTTAAGATTTAAAAAAAACATGATTTTCCTCTGATATCATTCTCAGGTTAAGACAACAATCAAATGCTTGACTTGAAATGCTCGAATAAAGCCTTCAAATATCTCCTGATAGCATTACTTAACTTATAACTAGTTTTATGTTCAAATGAAGCATTTTGTTGTGTTAGCCAGGAACTTATGCCTTTCTTATTGTACCCTTTAAACCTACAAAATGGTTATATAAGTTGGTGGCTGGTTGCTAATGTTAGCTTATATCTGACTGTAGCTAACATGTTATCCAATATGTTGTGTCATCTTGAAATAACATTTTCACTGAGATTTTCAATGTTCATTATCTTTCAGTTGCTGATCCATCTGAATTAATTATGACTATCAGAACCCCTGAATTTATATGACTAACAACCTTGAACAAAGCAGCCCTGGCGGTTGCCTTGTGAGTCTCATGCTATCTTTCCTCATCATGTAAAAGAATATCTCACCTCTTTCCTCTACTTATTCTGATCACGGATTCGTAGGCATCGCCTCTTCAGAGCTGGCTCCATGTCTCCAGCACTGGGAATATTAGCAGGGCTCCGCAGGCTACCCTTGTCCCTGAGCTTGGGCAAGAGCAGCGGGGTGGTGGTCCCACCCGTCTTTGGTGCTGTTGGCAAGGCATAGGCATGGTCCTCATCAGGCACATGGGGGTCCTCTCCTACCTCTCCGACTATAGCTAAGGGGTCTTCTGACTGACTAACTGCACCCTCAGCCCGCACTTTGCCAACAACAGTGCACTTGTTCTCTTTGATAGCCTCCAGCTCACTGACTGCAGGGTCAGGGGCTGGTGCTGGTATTCTCTGGGTTAAGGATGAGTCTGGACTTGGGGGTGTTGAGGGGGGTGTTGAGGACGACATCCCGTTTGGACCATGGTCCTGAGACATCAGGGAAGAGGATGCGGCATCCATAGGATGACTGCTGCCACTGGGGCTGATTGGTGTGTTCAAAGGTGGAGAATGGGAGTCCTGTTGGTGATAGAAGTTATCATGTAAAGGGGAGTGTGATAGTGAAAGGGTTGGTCTGATGATATTGTGGAGCCCTGATCTGGTACCCTGCCCTGCTCCTGACTCCCCAAGCCCTAATACATCAACTACTCCATTGGCACTTGCTCCCAGATTCACTTGGGTCCTTTGAAGAACCCTTTGGATGACTTGTCGCTCTGATTGTGGATGCCTATAGTCTGCCAGTCCCTCATACTCTGGGGCTGAGCAGGGGGATTCATTGTACAGGGCTCTGGGGGAGGATGCGCTACTGTGGGGCGTGGAGGTTGGGGATGGGAATGGCCTTTCTGATTTAACCCTATCAATGTCCCTTGTGATGGGGTCACTTGGTGAGTTTCCACCCGGATTGTTGGCTATCAATCTGCTGTTAGCTTCAGGAATCCCTGGCGTTGTTGGCCTAGTAGCCTGGATCTACCCCTCTCTGTCCCCTCTGGTACAGGCTGAATTACACTTGGAGTTTCTGGAGTTGCCTTCGAAGGGACTGGAATGGGAATAGGAATAGGTATAGGGACAGGTAGGGGGACAATGATGGGATAAGGCACCAAGATAGTGGGTTGGGGCAGAAGAGGGCTGAAAGAGGGAATACCAAAGTTCATTATGGGAGGCATTGGGACATGACCTCTTGGCATCATGTTTAAGGGTGGGGAGTGCAAGCCAGGGAAGTATGCTCCTGGGAAAGGGTGCATCATACCAGGGGGATTCATGGACGAGGAGGTCGGGGGTTGCAGGTGAGGCGAATGAGGAGGTCTGTGGATAGGGCTTGAGGAGGGGCCAGGGTTTCTGAGAGGGTTGGCAAGGGGGCTTCTCAGGCCCTGAGCATGGAGAGGAGGTCTGATGAACGGCATGGGGATTTGAGGTACTGGCTGATGTTCCAGATGGGGACGAGGAGGTGGTGGAGGATGAAGGGAAGCAGAATGGGGTGATACCTCAACAGCAGGGGTTTGTGGAGGATGCTGGATGGGTCTCTCCAAAGTCCTCAGCCCAGAGACTGTGACCTTGGAATTAGAAGAGGAGGCCTCCGAGGGAGAGATGGAGGTGGATTCTGCTGATCCAAGGATTGGTGCAGGCCCTTTAGGGGAAAGGTTTCTACGACGAGCTTCTGCTGCACTGCCGTTGTTCCAAGAATCAGGAGTGAGTAGCTTTTGACTTCCCAAACTGTTCTCGGCCCTCCCTTCCTGGCTTGATCTGCTGGGGCTGGAGCTGGTAAGAGCTGCACGAGCTTCTCGGTAGAAAACATCCATCTTGTACTGATTCAGACACTTGGTGCTGCAGAACTGGAGTCGTTCCTCACCAGATCCAAAGTCCAGGTATTCTTTAGTGTGGCGGACATGCTTGCACCAATCACATACCTGTGGTACAGGAGAGAGAGACTGCGGAGGGTCATTGAAGGAATTGCTCTTTGCCGAAAGATCTTTGTACAAATATACAGTTATCGGAACCCAACATCTTAAGGTAAGAACAACGCAAACTACATGTGTAAAACATCTCTTTTCATTTATTAGCTTCATAGCATATTCATGGTAAAACAAAAGAAATACTGATTGTGTCCTTACTCTGACATTGCTGTTTATCTTCAACACCAGTCTGGGCGAGTCCTCTGTTTGAGGATGCTGAGGGGATCTCTCTCCATGGAGGTCTTCATCTCTGGCCTGACAGGGGAAAAACCACAATGTGACACATTTGACACTAACCATTGTTAAACAGTTTATCAGACCTTCTTTGATGGATTCATTATCCTATTCATGAATGAAGCAGCACCTGCCCAACATCAAATCGTTGCTGAGATCATTCTGTGGTCTTCATATTAAAAGTGACAAAAGAATGAATGAATTGTTTATTCATCAAGGTAGGAAGCCCTTTGAAGATCATGCATGGCACGAAACTCTTAAGGTCAGTACAACAAAGTGGAATGACTGTGCTGTGAAACAAATATGACTTTTGAACTGAGCAAAGAGATAATACATTCATGGATTGTGATTTTATTAATAGCGTTTGTAGTATTAATATAGGAAATTCCTCTTGATTCATGCAAGCTGATCTGCTGTGGATCTGAGTGCTCCCCCATTTCTGTGACCCACTGAGTCGTGTTGGGTTACGAAACATGAGGCAGCTGAAGGTAAGGTATGCACTGAAAGTGGACACCTCGCCCCAGGCCTCCTGGCTTTCCTCTCAGACAAGCAGCGACAAGCCAACGGCAAAGCTTTCCTCCTCGCCTCCGAAAAACTAGAGGGCTTGTTGCACACAGAGTCTGCACCGCCCTCCTTTTTTGTCTCTGTCGTTGTGAGAATAAAACCTACCCAAGTATAAACAACAGAGAGGGTGAAAGGGGATATAGCTGCTGTCATCCTTGCATCTAAAAAGGGTATATCCATGTCGTAATGGAAGGTGAAAAATCATGGCGAGGTGTACCTAAGCGGTTCACCAAAGTTGCAGCTTTCCTTTCCTGCAGACCAAAGCCACTTAATGGCAGGCCACTTCTCCATTAACGTGAAAACTGATACAAAGTGTCTTCTCCAAACTTTGGCCTCCCTCCCACCATTCCTATACTGGCTCCTCCATAATAACCAGACAGTGTGTTCTTAGAGATACCCCTTTTTAAATGATGGTACATTTATCCATCTTTTATCGCCTCACAAGATCAGGGTATATGTTTTTGAAGGTCTGTTTAGCTACCAGTGACGCCTGGGTCTCTTGTGTATGGAGAGTGAAACAGCTGGTGTGCATGTGTATGTATATGCTTGACAATCCCCTGAATTCATCACATTAAAAACTACAGGCATTAACAGGTCGCTCAAGAACAGGGTTTCCAACATTTCACCAACAAATGGGCAAACCCAAATAAGTGAATATGAAGACCCATTTATATGTATTTTACACATTCTTTCATTACCACTGACCTTATTGCGTTTGAAGTAGGCCCGTCTGCAGGCGGCAAAGCACTTCTCACTGCAGAAGCTCTTCAGCTCAGAGCCCATACATAGAGAATAGCGTTTGACCCCTTCCTTCTGGCACCAAACACACACTATCTGCACATTTTGTACATCTTCCACTGAAGGGGAAAGAACAGAAAACAAGAGGATTGAGATTCAATAACAAGGGCAATTTGTTTGAAGAGGTTGTGTTGGCTTTTCGGTTTACATTATATTTGGAGACGAGACTAGTTTTTGGTTCATTTCAACAGCAATGTTACAAGTCTTTACCTCCTGATTTTTGGGAACATCTAATTTAAGAAGCTTTTGCATCTTTATACTTGTTCACTGCTGCAACTGTGTAACCGTTTAAGAAGTCAAGAGATATAAAGTGGCTTCGTCTCTTAGGTCAGGAACCTTTATCAATGTATCTGATAAAGGACCTATCTAGGCCCTCAGCTGGAGGGGCTTTTAAACTATCAATGGCATATACCCTAACACCAACTAATTTAAGAAGTCTTTAGTTACAGTCTATCAGCAAGCTCAGATATGCTGTTAACTATGCACTCTTAACAAATAGATGTTAAACAATGAGAGTTGTCTTTCATTTGAAGAGTTTTTCATTTTTGGTGGACAGTGAACAACCTGTAGCCCTTTACACACCATACATACAAATAGCAAAGCAGATCCAGATCCAGATCCATTCAGTCAAAACAACAATAACTGTGGCTGTTCAAAAACTCAAAGGCGAAACAATAGAACAATGCAAGCCAAAAGAGCATCATCATCAACTTCTGAAGATTGAATGAGGTGACTCCTGCTAAGATGTACTTTGGAACACCTTGCCCTTTGAAACCTTCACCGTCCTTGTGTATTGTTTTTGACTATAAAATCAATAGATGCGTTTGGGTATCATTCATTTCTTGGCCTTATTATGAATATGATAATGCAGTTACCCTAATTATCCACATTCACATCCCTGACCCTGCTCTCTGACTCTTCATACATGATCCCAATACCAGTAGGGGGATTGTGTTGAACCTGAGACAGAAATGCTAAAAGTTAAAATCCTATATTTTCATTTGTACTTTCATAGCTCACTACCTGCTGATGGCTTTATGAGTGGAACAATGACGGGGGCACTCTTGTGCTCTTTGGGGGTGGTTAGGGATGAGCTTGTTGAGGAAGAGGATGGTGAAGAGGATGGAACACTGGAGGACTCTCTCTCTCCACTTTTCATTGCCAGGACCGGGTGACCAGCATTGGTTTCCAGGCTCCTGGATTTTGGCAATGAGTTTTCTGCGAGACAAAGATGCAACAGTATGAAATGCAATAGCAGAAATCCACTTACAAAATCCACGCAAAAGCAACAATGTCCTTAATTTATTTCTAGAAAATAATACAGTATGTGGTGAGAAACAATGGATGTATCAGAATGAATGAAACTTGAGAAGATAAAACTACAGTATACAGAGTACAAATCTGAACAGTGACTTAATGTCTGCGCTGAAACCTGCAGTTGGGAGTAAATTGAAGAAAACTCTTCTCCTACAGTGAACTGTCCACACCAGCCCTCACCTTTTAGCACAGACACATGCTGTCTCCTTTCTCTGTAGTTTCTTATCTCGTTGGCCTCTGAGTCTCTGAGATCTACTTTGTCGTAGCCGTACCATCCCAGCAGCTCATTCATGGTGCTTTCTGCAAACGTCTGCATGAGAAAAAAAGAGGAAACAAATCACTGATTAACCTTCCATGTAAAAGGATAGGGTAACTGAGCCATGGCCTGCTTGCAAATGGGAAATTGTGAGCGAACATCTTAGGGTTGTTAGTGGAACTTTTTATCCAACGTTAAACAAAATCAGACCTCCCTATGCTGAATCAATGTGAGGGATTCTTTCTCAGCCCCAGCCCACTTTGGAAATGAATACGGGCTCAGTGGAGTACAGTATGACGCTTTTTCCATGATGTGTTCAAGTTGTTTACTCTTGCTAAATCTGAGACGGAAAGGTTTTAAACCTAACACCAGTGTGAAATCTATGAATCATCCATTGTTTATCTCTCTTAATTGGAAAAAAGAGGCAGAAAAGAAAACTGTTCTCCACAGATGGGATGTGTGGTCTCTCTTCTTTTTTTTTTTTATTACCACCAGATGAAAAAAAAACCATAACACAAAGGTCTCTCTCTTTATCCACCCACCTCTCTCTGTGGCTTTGGAAGAACCGGATTGGAGGAGAAACCTGATCCAGAACGGGCAGAAATCAGAGCGGGACACCCTACACCACAGTGAGGTCCCACGGTTCTCGGAAATGCCCCACTCCTCTTCTCTATCCAATGTCCGCCACTCTCTCTCTCTCTCTCTCTCTCTCCTTGCCCAGCTTTCCCCGTCCCTCCCCTTGTCTCTCTTCCCCCCTCCGCCTCCCATCTTCACCATCCTCCCCTCCACCTTCTAGCTATGACACCCGACACAGCTCTGCCTCTCAGGTTTCACCCTTTTCCAGCACGGCCTGGCCTGCTGTGGTGGTGTTGTAGTTCTGTAGTACTGACTACACATTCTTTCCCCTGCTTTCCTCACTACGACCTCTGCTCTGCTCTCGGGCCTCAAGAAGAAATGGATCGCTCCCTTGCTTGCTCACTTTTCTGCTCTGTGTGTGTGTGTGTGTGTGTGTGTGTGTGTGTGTGTGTGTGTGTTTGTATGTGTGTGTGTGTGTGTGTGTGTGTCTGGGAGAGTGTGTGGGTGAGTGCAAGCAGCGGTATCATATCCAGCTAAATATGCCTAACGATGATTAAAGTGAGGTATCCGGTGTCTGGTGTTGCGCTTGGGTCTGGCGTGGAGGGAGTAGGTCCGAATGTTGAAACAGATGTATTACAGAGACAACACTAGGCTGGACTTCAGCTGAGCTAGAAATCCGTTTTCCTGCCTTCCTGTCTGTCTTTTTTTTCTCTCACTCTGTCCCTTGCCATTTCATAATTTGACTCATTTTAAAAAGGTGCACATCTCCAGGAATGAACTCTTGATTCATAGTCTTGTGAGTGAATACCCATCAGAGACCAGTGTGATGAAACTGTTGACATATTATTGTTGGGAAAACAGGGATTGCTGACATTTTGTTGGCTTTGACTAACATTAAGCTTTACGCTAGCATGACACTGGGTTTGTTCCTTATTATCACCTACCTGAAAGGCAAGGGGCTAATAAATATATATGTTATATATGCTAATATCATACAGTATTGGTGTATGAACTGATATACTGGTATATAACCGGTACAACATTTAGGCTGACACAAGGGCCAATATGGACACAGATGTCAGTGTTGCCATAGCTAGGCCTGCTCCTAACCAATATCATTAATGATTTCAATACCAATGTTGGTAACAGTTCTGGTATCTGTATTGAGAAAACTCTAGTTTCCCATCAGATCTAAGTACTGTGATGTTCTGCAGGAAGAGTACACATTAATGGCAACTCTCCTACATACATACAGTCCAGTATCATTTACTGTTTCCCTGTTAACAAAATGTGTTGTTTTTTTTCACCCACCCCTCAACTTCCCACAATGTTGTTTTTGTTTCTTTCTGGCAGTTCAGACAAACATCTGCTTTGTGAGAGTGACAAGCCATATCCCAAACCACAGAGAGAGTTGCAGCCAAAGGCAACAAACCGGGGCCGACCCTGAGATTCAGCCCAGGCAGGGCTCACATCAAGAGGGGATAGCGTTTCACATGTTTTGATTAAAATTAGTTAAGTTGTAACACTACACCTCCCTTGGATATCATGCACTACGATCCAAACCACTTGCACAAAAAGCACACATTTCCTCTCTCACGAAAAAGGCCAGAATCCCCCAACATCCCCCGAGAACTTGCATGTCCTTTTACATTTCAGAGCTCCTGCTTGAGGGAGCGTTGGGTATCTTTTACCACTGCACTCGACACTCTCAAATAGCCAGTGTCCAAACCCAAACAAAGCCGGCAATCCATGGATTAGTTTCCATGCAGTAATAGGTTCATAACGGTGGGAGGGAATCGTGTCTGTTACTGGGATTGAACTTATTGCCTGTACACTGTGTGTCCTTTTAACACTACAAAGGGGAGATTCTTCCATCTTTAAAAGTGTGTTTGCTTAAGTGTATTCCCATTGTGGAAACAAGTGATTGCTTACTGAGAGATAATAATATCCTGTTTCTTGTTTTCAAATCATAAGGGCAAGCCTCTGTGGTACAATCAGCAAGTGAGCAAGAGCAGGGAAGAAGTGACGCACATCTGGATCTCCGCTGGACTTAAGCGTCCGGCCACAGCTGGCCTGAGTGGCGTCACTAGAAGGCGAAGTTCTAATACTCTTATTCACTGAAAACAACCATGGATAAAAATGTTGTATATCTCGCTTGTGTAGAAGTCAAGACTTGTATTAAAAAGTTTATAAAGATTTGTTTATCTACTTCTTAATGAAGCAAACGTTTGAGATCCCAGTGTTTTTACTAAATTTGCATCAAAAAGGTGTGTTCAGAAAGTATTTGCTCACATTAAAGACACAAGGAGCGCATTCATTTGAAAACAAAAAACGGTGCATGTCTAAATATTCCCAGCATTAATTTGTGCGCAGCTCACTTTCTGGATGTCCTGACTGGGGAGCCTTCGCGTGCGTACAGAAGTTGCGAACTTCTCACTAGAAACAGAAAAAAAAAAAAAAAAGAAGTCATCAAAAACTCCCTCTCACCTTCATCTCCTGGTTGATCTCCCTCTTTACGGGGTGCGCAGGTTTCCTGCTGCGCTTATTTTCCGGAGGTCTCCCTTTCTCCATCTCTGGCATAGTCCTGTTCTGAGTGGATCCGGTCCGGATCAGAGTTGGGTCTCAGCAGGAGGATGTGTTTGTTTTAACGGTGTAGCTCTGAGTGAAAGCTGTCACTCTCGGTGACAGCGTCTGTCATTCCCGGACGCGCGACTCCCTCATCTGAGGCTTCACACCATCAGAGATCAGAGTCCACTGAACATGCGTGCGCTCCGGACAGGAGACTCCACCGCCGAACAATCCCCACTCTCTCTTCTGCAACACCGTCAAACACCTGCCGTGATCAGATAGACGGCTTCCGGTTAGGCATTTCAAAGTAAAGTCTCGGTTTTAAAGACGGTGTGGTTAAAGCAGCGATCTTGATGCTAATTGAGAACAACCCAAATTCATTATCGACAACTTTACCTAATGAGAATTAGAAATTAGTACGAACTTATAAAAACGTGTCAAGGGTTTTAAGTATCTATGATGGACACCATTACTTTGTTCTCCAAACTTAAGAAATGATACATGTGAGTGTTTTTGTTGTGTAAATTATATTCCCATTAAACTTGTAGTCGGCTATTTAGGTCTGAAAAAAACAAAATAAAGATATAGACTTTATCTCCAATGACAACTGAATGGAATTTATAAATGCAAATCAGGGGTGGGCAACTGGCGGCATGGGGGCCACATGCGGCCCCTATCAACCCTCAATGTGGCCCTCAGATTAATTTTTTCCACATCAATTAACCGAAAACATGAAGAAAACATGACAAAATCTGCCATGAAATCATGAAAAGCAGAAATATGTCCAGAATAATATTTGATCACTGGTATATGTTGAGTTCAATTTCATACATTATCGACTGTAATCGTTTTTGTATTCTACAATTTGGCCCCTCTGGCAGTGAGAATTAAATGAATGTGGCCCTTGCTGTCACCAAAGTTGCCCACTCCTGATGCAAATGTAACAAACAAAATAAAAGGAATATAAATTAACACAAGATATGTGAAGAGATACAAGACATAATGCGCAATGAGAAAATGTAGCAGGTTGAATTCTAATGAATAAATTATTCACAATGTCTTGCATTTATGAAAGAAACAATATTACTTAATATAATTTTCATACAAATGTAATCTGTCCATTAATATAAAAATATGCACTTGGCTCTACAATTTGTGAGTAAATAATGTTCTTTTCTCTGCAATGTCCTTCTTACGCGCACTCATCCCTTTTATTGTGAAAGGGAAGTCTCCTCATTTCCTGCCCAGGTCACACTCTTAGTGTGTAACTTGACGCTGCCCTCTGTATATTGGGAAGGGAGGGCTCCCTGAGTGGATGTAACCCAACACTTGGCGCCCACCCCTCCCAAATCTCAACAGATACATTTCATACGGAATGCAAAGACTGTGTTTTATCTGAGAGGACAAAGTACAAACACTGTACAAATACTCTTGTCTTAAAATAAAGAGATGAAAAGAGCACGCTGAGTTAAATGATACCATGGTAGAGAGGCTTTCTGAAATGGCATCTGTTTGATCACTGTTTGTGTGTGTGCCAGCCAGTGTGAGTGTGTGTGTGTGTGTGTGTGTGTGTGTGTGTGTGTGTGTGTGTGTGTGTGTGTGTGTGTGTGTGTGTGTGTGCAGCACAAAAAACACCTGAAATGCCCATATTTTGCCTTCTAACCCGTGCACTTGCCTTAGGAAAAGTATCACATGCCTGAGGGCTGGATTTACATTAACAGGAGGGAGATGGGTGTCCTGTGCCTGGGCACAAACAGCTTCAACATCAATATTTGTTCCCTGGTTATTCTTGATGGTAAATGGCAGACGATTTATTACTGTATCAGATTACCAGGCTGCTGATGAAAAGATGGAGAGGATCAGGTTGCATTCAGCAACATAAATACATGTTATTCCAGACAAGATAGATAACTAATTATTTTACCAGTATTATACTATTTGCTATTTTTATTTTATTATAAACAGAAAATGATGGGAGTTATAATTGTTCTATTTAGATATTGGATAGAAATGTCGTCCTAACTAAAATAAGGCTGAAACTCTTGTTATTGAGATTATTAAAAAAAAAAAAAAAAAACCTGGTCTGGAAGGCATTGCTTGGAAAACTTGACTTAAATGGCTCCATTGCATCCTTACATTTCTCCCTCTTAACGAACTTTCACCTGGACATCAAACCCCATGCAGAGAGATAGACAGGTAGACAGACAGGCGGGACAGTACAGGGCTGTTTCAGAACCTCTCTCCTCCCTAAGACCCGTCTCCAGCAGTCCTCGCTCTGCTCTGGTTGGAGGAATCCAGGGAGCACACTCGTGTAAACAGAAACACGATCCAGTGCACAGGGCTTAGGTTTCGCCCCTCCGTACAGCCGCTGATGATACCCGATCCTGCTCGGCTTTGGGAACAGGGCTTATCTGATGCCTCACAAAAGGCCCCTCACATCTGGTGCCTCTGCAGGGAGCGCTGTCCCTTTTGGTTCCTCTGGAGGGGGTGAAGCCGAGGATAAGAGCGTCTCACTACTCCCTTGAAAATCCACTAACACAAACTGTAGAGTAATAGAGACAGTATGCAGTTACAATCTCCAACATCTGGACTAAATCATAAAAAAAATTGGCCACTTTGTGTAGTATTACTTGTATTACGGTCATGGATACATGACGACAGTGAAAACACCCCGCCAATTAAGAAGATGATTGAAAATGTTGTACTGCTGTCCTAACAGTTGGATTCAGTGTGAGCTCCTGAGGTTCACATGTATATGTTTTCACCATTAGGGGGCGGTGTGTCTCCATTGGCGTGGAAATGGTGTGACAACGAAGACTGATTGCTGTTTACCCTGCATCAAATAAAGTTATGATGAGGGTGTTTTTCCCCCCAGGCCCAATTATCAAATGACATGGGATGTAGCCTTGAAAACAAGTACACTTTTCATTTATATTTTACAAACACTTGACATCTGACTCTTTTTAAATATACTTGATAATTTGTATTAACTCTCTATATAAAAAGTAATATTGTCAAGTGTCTATCATCACAAGTAAAATTAACTCTAGACCCATACAATACCAAAATGAAATTGTGTAATCAAATCAAAATAAAGCCTTTTAAAAGTAAATAAGTAAATGAAAACATAGTCTTACGTTTCATTCATCTGACGTCCTGCCCTCTGTCTGCATGTGTTTGGTCGGTTATGCTTCCTGGCTTGGCAGACAGAGGGGGCGGAGTCAGGAAGGACATCACACCTGAGTACACCTGAGTCCATCAGGCCTCAGCTCACTTACGTGGCTTTCCACTCTAACTTCTGTCTCTCCTCTCTTCCTCCCAGGCCTCCACAAGCTGGTTTGGTTTTGTTTGCACTTCACAACACTCCATTCATACATGGCGTTCATGATTGATTCATCAGATTTATGATTGTTTCAACTTTGGTTGATAATAAACTAACTTCCTTTAAACCTTGTTTCATGTGTGATACCCCTTCTTGGTCACTTACTTTGAGCCACGTCTTGTTCTTGACAAATGGGGTCCTGACCGGGATTTCCATTCGTCACACAGTCTAATCCAACAAAAATAGTCTCCAATCAATTTCTTTAAAAAAGGGAAAAGTGTTGTTATTAGATTTGGGACAGTTTCATGACATTTAGTTTTCACAAAATCTTGTTTATAGTGATGAACCAGTGTAAACTAGCCAGTAAAAGGCTTCTGTTAAATCCTCTTATTTTCAATAAGAAAAACAGAAAACTATCATCAAATCAAAATGTTGTAAATGTTGTGTTTCTGTACTGTGTCTGCATCCTCTATCCAATTTTTTGTAACCTATTTTTGGGCGTCACGTCAAATTTTCATTTGGAGAAACGATTAATTGTGAATAATAAACGAGGTATCTGCCTGCTAACTTTACAAATCCCATTCACAGACGGGTTAAAGCTAACTAAACTGAGTAACTTCACTAGTGTTATAGTTTGTTAAGGACTCATATACTAACTCTATGTAAAATAGTCTTATTTAGGCTACTTGATCACGATATATGCTGTTTATGTTGTAACAAATAATTAGGAATGTAAATTAGCCTACATTTCAAAATACAAGATCCCCTATAACACTTTTGAGATATCTGGACATTACAGAGGACACTCACTAAGTTAAACAATCATCAAATATTTCCCACAAAACCTTCAAGCTCAGAATACACATGACACATTCCATGCAGACTTAAATAAATCATAACAACACAAGCACCTCCAGAGACACGGGTCCATCTATTTTGCCTCCAACTTTAGGAAACTGTGCTAGTGTGTGATGCTCCACGATGACTTCCTGTTTACACAGTTGCCTGACCATGATTGGACAGTGCAATTGAATGTGTTTATCAGCTGTCAACACTGAAATGTCTGTTGCTGTGACTCTAAAAAAAAAGAAATTGTAATGCCACTTACCTTAGTAGCCTACATGAATGGACCGATATTAAAAAAAAATAGGCAAGATATATTTTTTTTTAAGGAACAACTCGACTCTCCAAATGTCTAAATCTTAATGCTGTGACCCCATGCTGAACACTGGGTGTCGCTGCTAGCACACCTCAAACTACATGCCCACCTGCATTGTTCAACAGGTTGTATTCATTTTTCTGTTTTTCTGGGGGTTTTTTCAGCCTGTATTGTCGAGAAATGTCCTTATTGCCCATATGCTTACAAGTCTAAATGGTGTAACATAATGCAAATGAGTATCAGGTAGCCTATTAACATCTTTAAAAAAAAGCTTTATTATAGCATATAAGCCACACCGGCTTGTAGCAGTTTGCAGGTGTATGGCAACCAGTTGGATTCTGTGTCTATCGTGTCAAAGTGCTGGTCAATGTGGTTCAATCCGAAGAATGAGAAAAAACATTTAAGGTGGTGGAAAAGTGGCACTTTATGGTAGAGCAAGAGCACCTCTTCATCCCGAATTATTTTATGAATTTCTTACACGCGTCTATGTAAATTCGTGTGGTCAAACATAGGCAATATTCCGTGGTTGATCACATTTTCGTACAAGCCTTGCTTCCATCTTCCGTCCAGGACTCAGTCTGGTGTGGACCCCTATGCGTGACGTCACGGACCAGCAGCTGGTATAAAACGCTGCGTGTGATGCAGCGATCACATTAGAAAGAAGCAGAGTCTGTGAGCAGCCTCTCCCATCCTCTGGCCATATTATTATTGCAATTAAAGAAGAAATAAAAATGTCTAA